GACAAAGCCGGACGTGCCCTTTTTCCCACGCTTGGATTGCTCGGACTTTCCAGTAACGCGGTACTTCCCGGTCCACCATCCCACGAGGTCAACCTGCGGCCGCGCGACGCGCTGACCTGCATTCCCAGCAGCTGGAGTCACACGAGGCGGCACCGGAGACGCGGCTCTCGGAGTCTCGGACTGTGCAAACGAAGCGCCGTACGCGGGCATCGGTTCCGGAATCGGATCGGGCTCGACATTGTCCCCGATCTTCACGCTCGGAAGATCCGCTGGTTTGACCTTGAACGGATCCGCAGCGGTCATGACAACACGCAAGTCCGCGAGCATCGCGGTCGCGCTTGGGTAGCGCCGGTCATACTCCGCCATTGCTCTCCGAACGATCCAGCGGAGCGCTTCGGGACAACGCTTGGTGATCTGCGACAAACCAGAGTGAGCCGGGAACGAGTTCTCGACCATCGAGTACAGCACCGCGCCCGCGGCGTAGACATCAAACTTGCTGCCGTCGATCTCGTTGACTTTCACACCACGCAGCGCCTGCCGCACGAGTTCCGGATCGCGGAAGTATTCTGTGCCGTGCGTGGTGAGCGTCATCGCTGAACGCAGCGGAGTGACGAGACCGAAGTCTACGAGGTGGGCTTTCGCGTCGCCGTGCTTGCCGTCGATGATTATGTTGTCGGGTTTAACGTCCTTGTGCCAAAGTCCAGATCGGTGGTAGGTGTCGAGCATCATCAGCAGATCGTCCGCGTACCCGATCGCAAATCCGAGCTGTTTGTCGTCGAGCCCCTCGCGTGGAGAGAGCGAGTGCATGCGCTTGGTGACCGCTGTGAGCGATTCACCTGGGACATATCGCATCACATAGAAGAAACGATCCGCGGTGAGTTCGTGCTCAAGGACAAGACCGAGCTTGCGTGCCGCGTCCAGTGCGCGAGATTCACGCACGATCTGAGGCATCGACGAGCCGTCCTTCAGTGAGAACACCTTGATGACCACCTGATCCGCATCAATCCCACGCTTCGTAAACGCGGCTTGCTTGATCTCGTTGGGTTCTGCGATGTAGAGCTTGCCACCGGATCCGCCGCCTTTGAGCGATCCAACAATGGTGTATCCATCAAACGCGCCAACGCGCTTCTTGCTTGGTTTATCTTTGGTCGGAGCCGCGGCCATCGCTTCGGGGACGCGCTTCTCAACACCTTCGAGCGCACTGGAGAGTCCGAGCAAACGAGCGGGGTTCCCGATGAACAGTCTGTAGATGCAACGGATCGCGGAGTGGCACTCCAGCGAGAACGCGCCGGCAAGGTGCTTCGAGCGTGACCAGCGTCCGATGACAATCGCGAGCACAACGAGCGGAGCGAATACCGCGGCCGCGATGACGTTCCCGACCAAACGAAGCATGTCCGTGACCGTCGCACCAATGAAGGTGAAGATGTTCTTGAGGATTTTCATCGTCAGCGCGAAGATCGTGCTGAAAAGGAAGACCAACCCCGCGAGCAGAAACGCTCCAGCGAGGATGGCGGCGATGATCCCGACGATTGCGATTACGGGTTGCATGAGTGTGCCCTGTTCTCCCGGGCTCTAGAGCAGGTTCTGCTCGTCGATCGCCCGAAGCTCCATCTGCCGGTGGTAGATGTCCCCGATTGCCTCGTCAAACGCGATATCAGTGGACTTTTCGGCGGGTCCGGCGTCCCCGTCGGGAACACTATTGGGATTCAGCAGCAGCCCATTTCGTGACGCTTCATCAAGCTCTTCATTCGTGAACGAATACACCGAAATCACCTCACGCAAGCGACCCCGCAACATATCGCGGACCTTGCTCAGACGACGCGAAACCGTCGGCTCAGACACCCCCACCGATTCCGCGACCTCTTTGCCGCTCTGACCATCGAGCACGCGCATCCGATAGATTGAGAAGTCCATGAAGTCACACTCGGATTCCACCTTGCGGATCGCGGCTTCGACCTTTGCACGGAAAACCGACGCTTCGTATTCTTCATCCACCCCCATCGACGCGTCCGCCGTCATCCAGCGTTCGTCAAACTCCGCGTTCGCTTTGCCGCCTCCTCGCTTGAGCGCCATGCGCCGATCGATCTCGTCACCCAGCACATGCTTCGCGATCGCGAGGAGCCAGGTCGAGAAACGAGCGCCACGAGCAGGGTCGTAGCGTTCGATCGAGTTGGAGAGGGCTGCGAGTGTTTCTTGCGAGAGATCACGAGCCGTCTCGACGCCGATGCGTCCCTTTCCCCATCGCGTGAGCTGGATACGGATCACAGGACCAAAGGTCTCCCACAGCTCGAACCAGGCGGCTTCGTCATTGGCGCGGAGCCGAGCAATAAAGCTGGTTGTCATATTCGTGAGCATGAGACCCTTTCCTGCTGACTGGGATCGCTTATTGGGCGGAAGGCTTAGCGGGTTTCACCCACGCCAACACCTGTTCCGTTGGTATAAGCATACCCGGACAGTGCGGGATCGCGTTGCAAAAAACGGATTGCGACCCTCTTTACAGCTCATCAACATGGTTTTTTCAGTTTTTCTTTCATGACCTGAAATTCAAGAGTCGTGAATCCCAGTCACTCACTGTCGGGACATGTTCCCGGCATCCAAGTCAATCACCGGCTCAGACACGAGCCGATTCCAACACACCGCCGGGATGGTCCGGCACCAAGAGTCTTTAGGAGAATGTCATGGGATGCTGCTTTGGTAAAACAATCGTTCGAGGCGTCGTGATCACCGCCCTGGCCGGCGGCGTACTGGTTGCGGTCGCAGGACCACAACGCGTGGGATACATGTTCCACCAGACCCGTGCGAACGTCATCGGAGTCATCGATAACAACATCGAGGACCCCGTCATGCTGCGTGCTCAGATCAAGAATCTCGAAGCACAATACCCCAAGAAGATCGCTGAGGTCCGCTCTGATCTGACCGAGGTTCAGACACAGATCTCGCAGCTCGACCGCGAGCTCCAGGTCGCACAGAAAGTCGTCGCGCTCGCTTCGATGGACCTCGAAACCGTGACCGGGCAGCTGACACAAGCTCGCTACACGCAAGAGTCCAATCCCGGCGCGATCGTCCGTGTTTCGCTCAACAACCGTGCCGTCGACCTTGATGATGCGTACGCTAAGCGGAATCAGATCCAGCAGACCCGCGACATGTACGCGGCTCGTGCGACCGATCTGAACACCGACCTCGGGTACCTCAACGATCAAGAGCAGCAGCTCTCAGAACTTCTTGAGCGTCTGGAAACCGAACGCTCCGAGTTCCAAGCGAAGCTCTTCCAGCTCGATGCACAAATCGACACGATCGCACGCAACGAACGCTTGATCGACATGATGGAAGACCGTCAGGAAACCATCGACGTGCACTCGAGCTTCCAAGCCAACTCGCTTGACCAGCTCAACGGGCGTCTGTCAAACATCCGCACCGAACAGCGTGCACGCCTTGAGTCGATCACGAAACGCGACAACGACAAGAACTACGTCGATGAAGCCGAGTTCCTGATCGATCAGGAAGGGCTCGTCACCGAGTTCAGCAACGATCAGTCGCTCCCGGCACCAAGCAATGTTGGCAGCTTCACGATCGAGCAGCAGGTTATCGAGATCACCCCTGAGTCCGCAAAGACCCAAGGCCCGGTCGCGAGCAACTGATCCGAAACTCCTCTAACAACGATGGATGAAAGTCCACACCATGCATGCCGCCCGTTGGAATCCGGTCCAACGGGCGGCGTGCGTTTTGGATGCTTAGGATGCTCCCCTCGCCGGAGATCAGTGCATGCCGAGAAACAAGCGTCCACGCCGATACCGAAAGCGGAAAGGTCGCGGCATCGTCCGCGCCGGCGCCTCGCTCATCGGACGTGGGATCGTCCGATGTTTCCGCATCGGGAAGCAGGACCTCGCGAAGTCTCAAAAAGCACTCGTCAAGCTCGCTCGCGCCAAACGCAGCGGCGAGATGGTCCGCTTTGACGCACGCGTCGTCAAGATCCTCCCAGACGACAACGATGGTGATCGTCATCAGCGTTTCCTCGTCGCTGTGGATCACAAGCGATCCCCGATCAACTCCGTGCTGATCGCCCACAACATCGATCTCGCGTCGCGGATCCCCATCGAAGAGGGGGCGACCGCGAGTTTCTTCGGTCAATACGAGTACAACAACCGAGGCGGGCTCCTCCACTGGACCCACCACGATCCCTCCAACTGGCGCGAAGGCGGATGGATCGACTACTGCGGAAAGCGATACGAATGAATCAACAAGACGAACAATCCTACAAGCTCGGCAAAAAGAAGGTCATCCACATCCTGGTCTACATCGGAGTCGGGATCGTCGCGGCTTACTTTGGCATCGATCTCACCAACTCGCCAAACTCCGCGCCGGACAACCAAACCCAAAGCGCCGCTCAATCCGAGCCGCAGACTTCAGCATCCCCAACCCAATCAGTCGCGGACTCTCAGCGTGCTCTGGTCGGACTCGCAGAATCCCAGAGATCCGGAGAGATGGTCGAACTCCGAGCGCGCGTCGTCAAGCTCCTCCCAGACGACAACGACGGCTCAAGACACCAACGCTTCCTCCTCGCGATCGATTACGAGCCCTCCCCCACCGACTCCGTCCTTGTCGCCCACAACATCGACCTCGCGCCGAGGGTCCCAGTCGAAGAAGGATCAATCATCCGGATCTTCGGCCAATACGAATGGAACGATCGGGGTGGGGTCCTCCACTGGACGCACCACGATCCGCGCGGACGCCATGCCGAGGGGTGGATCGAACTCGACGGCGTTCGCTACGACTGAATAACAGAATCTTGCTTAGGAGATGCAATGCGGGAATTGCGCAATGTGTGCCATTGCAAAGATTTCGGTGGTGATTGGACCCTCTAGGTCTCAATTTCCGATATTCTTTGGCTATCCTGATTCTATAGACAAGGGCAACGCACACGCCCTTCATTTGGGCATTTCGTCCAAGGAGACAGTGCTTCAGTGTGGTATGAACGATTTCTAGGGCCGCTCGGCGTTGATATGGGGATTGACCTCGGGACTTGCAACACGCTCGTTGCCGTCCGCGGGCAGGGGATCGTTCTCAATGAACCTTCTGTCGTCGCTGTCAAAAAGGGCACCAATCAGGTCCTCAAAGGCGGACAAGCCGTCGGTTGGGTCGCGAAGGAAATGCTCGGGAAGACTCCCGGATCCATCACCGCGGTCCGTCCGCTCAAAGACGGCGTGATCTCAGACTTCGAGATCACCGAAGCGATGCTCAACTACTTCATCACCAAAGTCACCGGACGCGTCCGCATGCTCGGACCACGCGTAGTGATCTCTATCCCGTCGGGGATCACCGCTGTTGAAAAACGCGCCGTGTTTGATTCCGCTGAGCACGCCGGCGCTCGCAAGACGTACCTGCTCGAAGAACCCATCGCCGCCGCGATCGGCGCGGGACTCCCGTTCGCAGAACCCACGGCGTCCATGATCGTGGACATCGGCGGTGGTACGACTGAAGTCGCGATCATGGCGCTCGCGGACATCGCGAACTGCGAGTCCGTCCGCGTCGCGGGCGACGACATGGACGAAGCGATCATCGCGCACATGAAGCGGACCTACTCGCTCATGATCGGTGAGCAGACCGCTGAGCGCGTCAAGATCCAGATCGGTTCCGCGGCTCCAACAGGTGAAGAAACCGAGATGGAAGTCCGCGGACGCGACATGGTCTCCGGACTCCCTCGAAAAACAACCATCACCTCGCAAGAAGTCCGCGAGGCGCTCTCCGAGCCTGTCACCAACATCATCGAAGCGGTCACACGCACGCTCGAAAGAGCAGAACCCGAACTCGCGGCGGACCTCGTTGAAAACGGCATCATGCTCGCCGGCGGCGGTTCACTGCTCTCTGGTCTCCCGATCCAGATCAACAAAGCGACAGGACTCGATGTCACCCTCGCCGAGGATCCGCTGACCTGCGTGGCGCGCGGGACCGCGATCTATCTTGAGAACATCGATGTCTGGAAAGACACGCTCGAGAACAACTCGGACATCTGATCCAACCAATCACCCATCATCCACCCCACTCCTTGCGTGGATCGTGTATGCTGTGGTGAGTGATTTGTACCTGACTGGGAGCGTCTTATGCATCATCAACCCGCGTTTGTTCGTTGGTCGATGCCGATCTGTGTGATCGCGATGATCATCATGTGCCTGCTCCCATCCCGCTGGCTCGAATGGACCAACTGGTTCGGCGCACAGGCGCGCGTTGTAATCTCACCGATCGCTCATCCCATGACCATGGCGAAGAACCTCGTCATACCACAATCAGTGGGAAACCCCAACGCGACATCACGCGAGCGAGCGCTCCAGTCCGAACTCGATCGCTACCGAGCACTGCTCTACAAAGAACAACAAGAAAACAATCAACTATCAGCACTTGTTGAGCAGCTCTCATCCGGCGCTGCTGTGACACCCGATGTTGCGGTCACCCAGATCCCGCGACCTGTGACCGGACTCTCGCGTGAGTTCCTTGTTGTGAGATCTGGTGGCCACGAGCGGATCACCCGCTCCACTGTCGCTGTGGTCAACGCCGTGCAGCTCTGCGGCCGTGTAGTCGTGACCGACGCACGCACGGCGCTCGTGCTCCCAATCACCGCGAAAGACTCCCAGCCCTTGCTCGGGAATGTCTTGCTCGACGATTCTGGAATCAATACCGCTCGCTGCATGCTCATACCTGTTGGCAAAGGGTTGCTCGAGGGCGATGTGACCATGCCAGATTCCGGAGACGAAGAACAACAGATCGAGATCGGGATGGAAGTCCGGCTCCTCGATGACCAATGGCCTCGTCATGCACAGATGCTGCTGATCGGCACCATCGAACGCGTCGCGACTTCACCTGACCAACCACTCCGCAAACGCATTACCGTTCGTCCGAGTATCGATCTGCGGAGTGTCCCAGAGGTTTTCTTTCGCGTCCCAGATCTCGACAACACGCAGGGGGGCGCTCCATGAACTGGTTCGTGCTGCTCTTCTTCGCGTGGGTTGGGTTCGGTCTGGAAATGGCGCTGCTCCCTGTGTTTGACGCCGGCGCGAGTGGTGTGCATCCATCGGTGGTGCTCCCGCTACTAGTCTTTGTCGCGCTGCACGCGCCTCGCAAACACGCGCTCTGGTGCGCCATCGTCCTTGGGATTTCGATGGATCTCCTGACACCAATCAACCACGACAACGGCGGGCCGGTCACGCTCATCGGTCCCTACGCGCTCGGATACCTCCTTGCTGCTCAGTTCATTTTCTCAGTACGAGGGATGGTCATCCGCAGAAACCCACTCACCATCGCGTTCCTCTCGTTGATTGCTTCGCTCATTGCTGAGATCCTTGTCGTCGCGCTCATCACCATCCGCTCACTTGCCGGCGATTCCATCGCATGGGATGCGGGGGATGCACTCATGGACCACACTCTCTCCTCGGTCTATACCGGGGTCGCGGCCCTCTTCCTCTCGTTCATCTTCTTCGCGCTGACCCCCGCCTTTGGGTTTCATACTGTCATCGCGACCCGCTTCGCTCGTCACATCAAATAGATCATTTGAGCTCGGCAAGGCCTACGATCTGTGGCTATGACCGAACGACGCAAATCCATCCTTTTCAACGATGCTCACGCGAATCTTGGACCGCTGACCGATCTGCGTCCGCCGCACGCCATCCGCACCGGAGCGATGACCACCGCCGAACGCCTCACGCGTGCGTTTGATCTCGAACCCATCGGGATTGTCGTCCCCAACGATCTCAAAGAACTCACACAAGACCAGTCCGGCGTTCCCGTCAATGAACCACCCGAAGAGTCTGATGATCCGATCCTGATGATCAATGGACGCTGCCCGCTCCCGATCGAATCAATCGGCCAGCTCGGAGTCGGCGAGGTCCTTATCGAAGCATCAACCAAAGACATGATCGCAGTCTGTCTCACCAGTTCTGATGTTCGCGTGCTCCTCTCAGGTGGGAATCCCGAGATGAAGAGGATCGAGCTCGATGACACCGTCCTCATGCGCTCGCCTTGGGATTGGCGCGCGTTCCGCGATCGCTGCATCGAGTACGACCTGCAGTCCATCGCCGAGACGATGTCGAAGGTCGAGCACGCACCAGAGGGGGTCATGATCCTGGGAGATCAAGGCGTCGTCATCCATCCCGACGCGGATGTCAAGCCGGGAGTGATCCTCAACGCCGAGCTCGGACCGATCGTCATCGAAGAAAACGCGACCGTGCGTCCCGGCACCATCATCACCGGCCCCGCCTACATCGGACCAGGATCCACCGTCCTTGAACAAGCGAACATCAAACCCAATACCGCGATCGGACCGGTCTGCAAAGTCGCGGGAGAGATCGGCGGCACGATCTTCCAGGGATACGCGAACAAAGCACACGCAGGACACCTCGGGGATTCATGGATCGGCGAATGGTCCAACCTCGGCGCGGACACCACCAACTCCAATCTCCTCAACACCTATGCCGAGGTCACCGCTCGCGCGACCAAAGATTCCAAGATGGAAAAAACCGGCCAAACCTTCCTCGGCGTCACGATGGGTGATCACACCAAAACCGCGATCGGGACACGCATCATGACCGGCGCCATCGTCGGAACAGGGACCATGTTCGCCGCGAGTACTCCGATGTCCGGCACGATCGACGCGTTCTCATGGATCACCGATTCGGGGACCAAGTCCTTCCGGCTCGGCAAGTTCGTGGACATCTCCCTCAACGTCATGGGACGACGCGGCATTAAGCAGTCGCAGGCATACTCTCGAAGACTGACCGTCCTGCACGAAACCGTCACCGGCGTCAACTCCGGCATGAACTGGCCCGGGAAACCGATGGAGCATCTGGTGAATCAGGATTCCTGATCCCGAACCCGCACCGCCTCGGTCCACCCTTTCTGTTCTCGTTCTCGCAGCTCTTCCTTTGCCGGCCGAAAGCCTCGATAGGCGTTCTCATAGAGCAGCACACATGCCCATCGCTGGTACTTCTTGTCACACTTTGGGCACTTCCCCATTTCAGCAAAATGACTCAAGCCGTGCCTGCACCAGGGGCACAGCATGAAACTGTGTCTCTGAGTCTTTGCGTAGGTGCGTTTCCGAATCCCGAATGGAATGAACCAACAGATCAAGAACCCGACAAACGGCACGATATACACCAGCATCCATTTAAATACGCCCGGTCCATTCAACCTATTGGCTGGGATGATGCCCCAGTTCATAATGAAGAACAACGAGATCGCAAGAACCAAACAAAGATACTTGATGCTCCCCAGCACCGGCCCGACGCCCTTTCGTGGATCAATCCTTCGAAGAACCAGCCGATCGATCTCGAAGCGCTGCTCTTTGGTCGGTGAGAACACTGGTGCATCGACAAGAATTTCGGTTACTGGTGGCGGCGTCGGTTGGACCAGTTCCGGATGCTCGCGGAGCTCAATCGCCTCGCGCCACGCGGCGCTCTCGCGCTTTCCGAACTCCTGTGGACTTGGGGTGTACTTCCGATACGCCAATCCAAAGAGCCTTTGACAGAGCTCCTTCCGGTAGCCCGCACCGCACTCCGGACAGTGCCCATCATCTCCGAGACCTGTAAAAGGGTAGCTGCACCAAACACAGATAAACCCATCATGTTTTTTGACGCGTTTTTCGAGCTGAATCCGAGTCAGCCCTCTTGTGTATGCCCAACTTAGCATGAGGACAAAGAGTGCTCCATAACTTAGTGAAAATACCAAAATCAGGACCCAGCCCGGAGCACTACTGGGAATGAACATGGCGATGCTAAATCCGACTACAAGCACAATACCGAGTGCCCACTCCAATCGCCCTTGATACTTCCCCATCCCCACGCGTGGGTCCCACCGCCGGCTCACGAGTAACTTGAGATCATCATGTGCCGATTTATCCATCCCAGAATCATAGCATAACCCTCCCTATCCTCCGCTGTGAAAACGCTCTACCTCATCGATGGATTCGCCCAGTTCTTCCGCGCTTATCACGCGATCCGCACGCCCATGTCCTCGCCGGTCACTGGTGAACCCACCAACATGACCTACGGCTTCGTCGGGATGCTTCTCAAACTCCTCCGCAACGACGGCAAGCACCTCAAAGACGACGGCGCCGTCAGCTACCTCGCCGTCGCGCTCGATGTTGGAGGGGACAAGGGGACCTTCCGGAGCGAGCTCTATCCGGAGTACAAAGCGAATCGTGATGAACCACCAGAAGACCTTCGCCCGCAGGTCGATCGGGCGCTCGCGCTACTCGAAGATATCGGAGTCCCGGTCATCGGATGCGCCGGATACGAAGCGGACGACATCCTCGCAACGATCGCGACTGACTTTTCAAGCAAGCACCCCGACATCCGCGTGCGGATCATCTCGAAAGACAAAGACCTCAAGCAACTGCTCGGAGAGGGCGCTCCACCCACAGAGATGTACGACTTGCACAAAGACGAACTCATCACCGAAGCGGACCTGATGGAGGAGCTGGGTCTGCGTCCCGAGCAGGTCATCGATCTGCTCACACTGATGGGCGACACCGCCGACAACATCCCAGGCGTGATGGGCATCGGGATCAAGACCGCAGCGAAGCTCCTTGTTGAGCACGGCGACTTGGACAGCATCCTCGCCGCCGCGGACGAGGGGACGATCAAAGGCAAACGCCGCGAGAACCTGATCGCGAGCAAGGAGCACCTCCCGCTGAGCAAGGACCTCGTGACACTGCGCCACGATGTCCCGATCGTGCTGGATCTGAATGACGCAGCCGTGGAGTCGATCGCGCTCGACAAGCTCATCCCGATCTGCAAGGAACTCGGATTCAACCGCTACCAGGACGACCTCAAAAAGATGATCGTCGGCGACGAGGATCCAAAAGACAACAAGTCCAAGAAAGCCGCCGCTCCCGCGTTCGGATCACTATTTGACCAAGCCGAGGACGCCCCCGCTGCCCAAGGCGAGTACATCACCGTCCGCACGAAGAAAGACCTCAGCGCGATGCTCAAAGCGTTCAAAGGCGCGCCGCTGCTCGCTGTGGATACCGAGACGACGCACATCCGTCCGATGCGTGCGCAGATCGCTGGGATCTCGATCTCCCACAAAGAAGGCGTTGGGTACTACATCCCCTGCCTTGCTCCGGAAGGCGAGAAGCACCTCGACACCGAGACGGTTATCGAATCGCTCAAGCCGATCCTCGAAGACGCTTCGATCGCCAAAGTCGGACACAACCTCAAGTACGACCTGACCGTTTTCAAAAACGCCGGGATCGAGCTGCGTGGTCATCAGCCCACCAAGACCCATCCCGACGCGGGCGACACGATGATCGCGAGCTTCATCCTCGATGCGTCGCGTTCGAGTCACTCGATGGACAACCTCGCGCTGGCGCTGCTCGGTCGCACGAACATCTCCATCAAGGATTTGATTGGCACCGGAAAGAACCAACGCACCTTCGATCAGGTCCCGCTCGATCAAGCGGGACCATACGCCGCGGAAGACGCGGATGTGACGCTCCAGCTCGATCATGTGCTCTACAAGGACCTCGCGAAGGAACCCTCGCTCGTCAAGCTGTATCAAGAACTCGAGATGCCGCTGGTCGATGTCCTCGCAACCCTCGAACGCAACGGCGTCATCGTCGATCGTGACGAACTCGCTAAACAAGAAGCACGACTCCAGTCCCGCATCGACGAGCTCATCGAAGAAATCAACACGCACGCGAAGGACAGCATCGGATACACCTTCGATCTCAACAGCCCCAAGCAGCTTTCCGCGGCTCTCTTCAACAAAGAAGACGACGAACCCGAGGGTCTGGGGATCAAACCCATCAAGAAAACCAAGACCGGATTCTCAACCGATGCAGAGGTCCTCGAAAAACTCGCGGCGGATCCAGAGATCGAAACACCGATCCCGACACTGATCCTCGAATACCGCCAGCTCACGAAACTCGTCTCGACCTACCTCAAAGCGCTTGCTGATGAGATCCATCCAGAGACCGGCCGCATCCACGCGAGCTTCCATCAGACCGTCGCATCGACCGGTAGACTCAGTTCCTCGGATCCGAACCTCCAGAACATCCCGATCCGCTCCGACATCGGACGCGAGATCCGCAAAGCGTTCGTCGCGCCCAAAGACCACCAACTCATCACGGCGGACTACTCGCAGATCGAGCTCCGCATCCTCGCGCACTTGTCTGAAGACCCCGCGCTCATCGCCGCGTTTGAAGCGGGTGAGGACATCCACCAAGCCGTCGCGGCGCAGATCAACGACATCCCGCTCGACAAGGTCACCAAAGAACAACGCTCCGGCGCCAAAATGGTCAACTTCGGGATCGTCTACGGCGTCACCCCCTGGGGACTCGCACGACGACTCAACGTCTCCAACGCGGAAGCAACGCAGATCATCGACGACTACAAAGCGAAGTTCGCCAACATCACCTCATTCCTTGAAGAGTGCGTCACCTTCGCCAAGACCCACGGCTACGTCGAAACGATGATGGGACGACGGAGACCGATCACCGAGATCGATGCACGCAACCCTCAGCGTCGCGCGCTTGCTGAGCGCGTCGCGATCAACTCGGTTGTCCAAGGTTCCGCCGCGGATCTGATCAAGATCGCGATGATCGACCTCCATCGGGACATCACCAGCGCCAAGAGCGGCTCCGACCTCGACGGCACCAAGATGATCCTCCAGATCCACGACGAACTGGTCTTCGAGGTCCCCGACGCTCGCGTGGACGCGGTCATGCCGATCGTGACCAGCCGCATGGAGGGGGCAATGGACCTCAAGGTGCCGCTCAAGGTCGATGCGCAGGTCTCGAAGGACTGGTTCGGCGGAAAATGAGTTGCAATCCGAGCGGATCGGATACACTACACTCGTGCCACCCGCGACCAATCAATCCTGGACGACCCGCGATCTGCTGTCGTGGATGACCAAAGCGTTCGAGTCCAAGGACCTCGACTCGCCGCGACGGATGGCGGAGATGCTGCTGGCGCATGTGCTGGGGACTGAGCGTTTGAAGCTCTACATGGATCCCGATCGTCCCGCGTCGCCGCTCGAACGCGATCAGCTCCGCGACCTCGTCAAACGCGCGATGAGGCACGAACCGATCCAGTACCTTATCGGCGAAGAGTCATTCTTCGGGATGACATTCAAGGTCGATCGCCGTGTCCTCATCCCGCGCCCATCAACGCAGACGATCGTCGAGGAAGTCCTCCAGCACGCGCGAAAGAATCCCGACGACAACACGCTCCGCGACTCAGACGCGGGACGCGGGATCATGATCGCGGACATCTGCACCGGGAGCGGGTGCATCGCCGCCGCGCTCGCGAAGCACCTGCCGGGATCGCGCGTCATCGCGTCGGACCTCTCAACTGAGGCGCTCCAGTGCGCCAAGGAGAACATCGCGCGCCACGATCTCAGCGATCGCGTCGAGCTTGTGCAAGGCAACCTGCTCGATCCGATTGAGAACCATCCCGTTGCTGGGAGCGCCGGAGCGCTGCGGTACATCGTCAGCAACCCGCCCTATATCCCTGACAGCGAGTGGGACGCGGTGGAACCCAATGTCAAAGACCACGAACCAACGATGGCGCTGCGCGCCGAGGACGACGGGATGGAGTACGTCAAGCCGCTGATCGAGCGGGGGCCGAAGCTGCTGTGCAAAGGGGGCAAGCTCCTCATCGAGCTCGCGGCCGCGAAGACCCCAGTCGCGCTCAAGCTCGCGCAGGATCACGACCTCCTGACCAATGCACGGATCACAAAGGACTCCGATGGACTCGATCGTGTGCTCATCGCGACACGAGTCTAACCCACCAATGAACTCACCAGTTAAGAGCTAAAGGCTTCACGCACCTGCGTGATCAGCAGTTCGATCTCGAACGGCTTGAACAGCACGCTCTTGAGTCCTTCCTGCGATGCACGCACGATCGAGTGGTGCGGGTCGTACCCGAATCCGGTCATCAGGATGACCTGCGTCTCTGGACTGCTTCGGCGCACGGCACTGAAAACCTCGTACCCGTTGCGATCCGGCATCTGGATATCCGAAACGACGAGATCGAATGCTTGCTGACCTGAGGATTTGATTTCTTCGAGAACTTCGATCGCCTTTGCACCATCACTCACGATCGTTGTTTCACAACCGCGATGACGGAGCACATCGCCGATGATCTTGCGGATCTTGGGATTGTCGTCCGCGATCAGCACACGCTTCCCAACAAACAACGGATCCTGTTCGCGTTGCGTGAGCGCCTCGTCCACACCAAGCAGATTCTGAGGACCTTCTGAAACACACTTGACGCGTTCCTTGATCGAGGTCACATCACTCAGGATCCGATCGATATGACGAGCCGTCTCTGGATCCGCAGTCTTCTGATGCTCTTTGAGCCAATCGATCTCGTGGACAATGTCTTCCAACGGCTCGTTGATCTCACCTTCGAAGCGCCCCGAAACTGTCTGATTGGTCGCTGTACGCTCAGTCACCAGCAGCTGGAGCATGTGCAGCGCCATCGCGATGTAGCGTCCAAAGATCTCTGCGAACTGACGATCCTGATCGTCGAACGCGCCGGGCTGTTGCGACTCGATGTCCATGATCCCGATGACCTTGTCTGAGACCAGCAATGGCACAGTCAGACTCGATCGAGCGCCGGTCAAACCAGGGAGGAATCGATCATCGGTCAGTGTGTCATAGCAAATGTAGCTCTCGCCCGTCTTCGCGACATGTCCCGAGATTCCTGAACCCTCGGCTTCCTGATACAGATCCAGATCCTGAATCTCTTCCGGGAGTCCCGATTGCATCACGAGCTGGAGCTTGTTGGTTTTCTGATCCGTCAGGAAAATCACAAAGTGATCCGAACGCAGCAGTTCGTGGGAATACTTGATGACGCGCTTCTCAAGGAGCTGCAGACGCTCGAGCGCGTTCATTTCTTTGATCTGATCCACATCCATCCGCACAAGCTCGAAACCCGCGCGGTCGATCGCGTCCATCTTTTGTTGAGTGCGTTGTGCGATTGTTACATCACGCACGATCGCCGCGATGCGTCCTGTCCGAACCTCGTCATCCTCGATCCGCGCAATACCAGTGATGTAGACATCAAACGAGCGGATCCCTTCATCGGAGTTCACACGATGCTTGGTGACCATGGCGCCGCCTTGCGCTGGATCGTGACTCACGCCCGGGATTGCATCCGCAGACTGGACACACAATGCGTTGACACGATCTCGGACCGACGCATCGAGCAGCTCGAAGTATTCGTTTGACCAGAGTACATCACCGTCGGGATTGACGATGCAGACACCCTCACCCAGCGCTTTGAGCACCGCCGCGACACTCGATTCATCAGGCTGAACCACGATCTCGTAGCGATCGCCGAGTGTTTCTTTGAGTTGTGCCGTCTCCTCCGGAGAGGCGCCAACAAGGACGAGTTTGGGCTGTGTCTTGACCATCGAGAAAGAAATCTCATTGAGCGATCACGGGCGAATGCCCGATCGTGAAACACCTGCTCTAAACTGTATTCGCATGCCACACACATGCGGGTGCAACAACATTCAAGCTTCTTTCACGCTAGTATCGGCATGCCGCCCGATGGAGCCAGCAGAACTCTATGATTTTGGTCCGAGAAATCTATAAATCCTTCGGCCCGCTCAGAGCGGTCACCGATGTCTCCTTCGAGCTCGGAGAGAACCAAGTCGTCGGACTCCTAGGACCCAACGGAGCGGGAAAGAGCACCACAATCCGCATGATGACCGGGTTTTTAGCCCCAGATCGCGGATCTATCTCCATCGTCGGCTACGACATCTCGAAACACCCCGCTCAAGCGAAGTCCCAGATCGGATATCTCCCAGAGCAAGCACCGATCTATCCAGAAATGTCTGTGCGTGGATACCTCAAGCATCGCGCCAAACTCTTTGGGGTCGAGACCAAAGAAATCAAATCAGCTGTGGATCGAGCGATGGATCAGTGCCATATCTCAAATGTCGCCCGCCGGCGTGTTGGTCAGCTGTCAAAGGGCTACAAACAACGCGTCGGACTCGCTGGAGCGTTGATCCACGATCCGCCCGTCCTCATCCTCGACGAACCCACCAACGGCTTGGATCCCTCGCAAATCCGGGAATCCCGCTCGCTCATCCGCGATCTGGCGCAAGACAAAACCATGCTGGTGTGCTCGCACATTCTCCCTGAGATCGAGCGCGTCTGCGATCGAGTGATGGTCATGAACCATGGCCAAATCCAAGCCGACGGCACCCCCACTGACCTCATCAATGCTGCGCCAGGTCCGACCCGATACACCGTCGAGATCCGCACGAACCCATCCGCTGGTATTGCGCATGCTTTGCGCGTTCTCGCTGCGGTACCGGGAGTGGATTCAACCATCGCGGATCAGATCCAGCCCAACGACGCGAGCCGAGGATGGTGTCGAGTCATCGTCAACGCGCTCCCGAACGAGGGTGATCTGAGAGAACCGATCGCTGGAGCAGCAGAAGATCAGGGACTGTTCATCCGCGAACTGTCGCAGCAGAAACAAACACTCGAAACGATCTTCATGAGCCTGATCGATCCAGCACCGAACCAACCCTCGATGATCGGGAGCGGCGTGTGATCCAGACTCTCATCCAATCTCTCAACGCACAGCGTTCACTCGTCACAACGATCGCAGTGCGGGAACTCGTCTCCATGTTCCGCGTCCCGGCAGGATGGATCATCATCGCACTGTTTGCCTTTCTTTCCGCTGTGCTCTTTCTCAATCAGACACTCATCCCTGGACAGCCCGGCTCGATGCGGTACTTCTTCATCGCTTCCGCGTGGTTGTTGATCCCGATCGCTCCAGCGATCTCGATGCGTCTGATGTCCGAGGAGTACCGGACTGGAAGCTTTGAGTCGCTCCGCACGACTCCCGCGGGAGATTGGGCCGTCGCGCTCGGGAAATTCATCGGAGCGGTGCTGTTCCTGATCCTGATGCTCACGCCGTCGCTGATCTATCCGATCGTGCTCGCGATTGTGAGCTCACCCGCTCCCGATGCCGGACCGATCATCGCGGGATACCTGATGCTGATCCTCGTCGGATCGCTCTATCTGAGCATCGGACTGCTCGCATCATCGCTGACATCGAGTCAAACACTCGCGTTCCTCGGCACCATGATGGCGCTCGTCCTCTTCATTGTGGTCACTTCAGTCCTCGCGCCGCGCGCGGGATCAACGCTTTCCCCGATCCTTGATCGACTCTCCGTCATCAGCCGCGCCGGAGAGTTTGGCAAAGGGATCATCGACACTGGAACCATCGCGTTCTTCATCATCGGATGCCTATGGATGGTCGCGCTGAGCGCCGCCGTGCTGGAGTCCAAGAGACTGGCGCGCAAACGATCGATCCTCATCGTCATGGCTTCGTTCTTCGTGCTTACCTCAGGCACAGCCGTGTTCTTCGCCGGATACCTCACAAGCGAGCACCGAATCCGCATTGATGTCACCTCGACCAGCGCCCACGAGCTCTCCCAGCGTGCTAGCAATATGGTCGACGCACTCCCAGGACCAACACGCATTGTGCTCGCGATCAATCAGAGCGAGTCCGACCAACGAGCGCTGGATCTTGTCTCCGATGTGCTCGAAACCTACGACCGCTCATCACCGCTGCTGACCAGCCGTGTGATCGACCTCGCGACCGCCGACGGCATCAACCAAACCCAACAACTGATCAACGAACTCCGCGATCAGGAATCTGGCGCAATCCAATCGAACCAAGAAACCATCGAACAAGCATCCCAGTCGCTGTCTGCTGCGTCCACACACCTCCTCCAGTGCGCCAAAGACCTCCAATCCATCCGCGATGCGATCGACGGCTCAACAACCGCAGGAGCGACCAATCGAGCGTTCTTTGATCAGCGATCCGCACTCGTTCGTCTCGGAGCTCAGGATCTGTCCAACGCTTCGACTTCACTCGAATCCGATCCAGTCTCTGGGACTGCGATGCTCGATGCTCAACTCGCACAGCTGGAAGACCTGCGCAATCAGCTCAGCGACTTTGCCAATGCGCCTGAAATTACTCCAGCCGCTAAAGCCGCTGCTCGCTCATTGAATACACGGCTCGACACACTCATCGATCAACTCGCCGTGACCTCTGATCGACTCGCTCGGCTCATCCCGATCGACGCGGATCGCGTTGCGACGGCGCTGGAGACCGGAGAGTCGCTGCTCATCATCGGACCTCCAGAGACTGGAATCGCGGCGATCGATCTAGAAACACTTCTCCCACCAACTCAGCTCCTGGAACAAGCCGGGATCTCTCCGGCAGGGGTCATCGGACCACGAGCACAAGAACTCATCGCATCCGCACTGGCGCAGCTCGTGATCCAGAATCATCCGATTGTCGTGTTTGTCCACGCGGGAGAGCCGGGACAACTCCTCGGAACTCCTCAGTTGCTCACCAAAACAGTCAATCACCTCAAACAGCGTGGTATCGACACCATCGAGTGGGCACCGCTGCATGAGAGCGATCGTCCCTCGCTTGTTGAACTTGATCCGCTCGGACAACGACCAGTCGTGTTTGTCATGTTCGCTTCCGATTCCGCCGCAGGTGGAGGCGAGACGGGCATCACCGGCGCCAGGCGCGCCACCTCACTCGCAAACATCGCGCAACAACTCATTGATCAAGGCGAATCGGTCCTGATCTCCATGAATCCTTCGATCTTTGGATCGTTCGGAGACACCGATCCCATGGTTCGCGTGCTTGAGCCTTTCGGTATCGTCCCAAATCCAACCAAAGCACTGCTCTCACAGCGCATCGTGTCATCCAAGCGAACAGCGAATCCAGCAATGGTTGTGGTTCCAACCATCGAGGGTGATCAAGAAACTCATACCATCGGAGAAGCCGTGCAAGGTCTCTCGACCATGCTTCCTTGGTCGATCCCGATCAATATCGATCCGCGCGTAGGCGCTCAAGCAACTTCGATCATCTCAATTCAAGGGAACGAACAGGTATGGGCCGAGCACGATTGGATCACTCTCTGGTCCACACCCGCACAATCTCGTCAGTATCTTCAAGATCAACCGATCTTCGAAGAGTCCAAAGACATCCGCCGAGACCAATGGATCATCGCAGCAGGCGCTGAACGGCTCATCGATTCCGACGCTCAACGCGTCGTCGTTGTAGGTTCGAACTCATGGGTGAACGACGCGCTCACCTTCGGACAGAGCCAACTCGTTGATGGACGCATCACCACAGCATTCCCCGGAAACATTACTCTACTTGAGAGCTCCATCTCATGGCTCGCCGGACTCGATCAACTCATCGCTCCGGGAATCCAGTCGCGTCCAATCGCAACGATCAAACCGCTCGACGCGTCACAGCTCTCACTCTATCGCTGGATCCTGCTCGGCGCTGTCCCCGGATGTGTCCTTTTGATCGGGATCGGGACGCGTATCGTCTTCGGATAACTCGGTCTGAAGTTGCTCTAGATCCCGCTTCCCTTTCCAGTGTCGAGCGACGAGTGCCGTGCATACCAAACCCACAGGAACCACGATCAGCGTTTCCGCGGCTCGATTGATGAGGTCCGCCGCGATCGCGGTGCTCATCGTGTGACCACCAGCTGAAGCCGTGAGTCCGACCCCCCACTCTCGGAATCCGATCCCCGATCCAGTCAAAGGCATGAGCGAAGCGAGCTGCGAAACGGCGCTGATGATCGCGATGTCTCCGATTCCCACTTCCATCCCAAGGACTTCAAACGCGAGCCAATAACGCCCTAACCAGATGATCACATCGATCTGTCTGAACGCGAGTGCTTTCATCAACAGCCGAGTCTTGCGTCCCGGCATCAGTGGCACACTCGCAAACATCATCACTACAGGAATCAGCGGGATCACGATCGACCATTGATTCGGGAGTTCGATCATGACCAGTGCAGCGAGCAGGATCACGCCGTTCGCGACTCCCGCGAGCACACCTGACCAGATCGAGGACTCGAGCGAGTCACGCAAACGGATTTTGTTGATCGCTTTGTGATACCCAATCCTGCCGATCAATCCGGGACGCATTGGGAGGTAGTTGAATAACCATGCGCTCCCCACGAGCACAAACATCTCGCGCACACCAACCTTGCCGTGCCGTGACTGAAGCGCCTGCAAGCACATCGAAACCGACCAGTGGTTCCCGAGTGGTCCAAGAACGATCAGCACGAGCATCCAAACTGGAGCCGACCGAAGCGAATCCCAGACCCCTTCGAGCCCGTTGGTTCCTTGGTACACAAAGTATGCTGCACCAGAGAGCAGGAGCATACTGATCGTGAACATCACAACAGATCGTGTACGCGACTTCCGTTGTATCGAAACGTCCGACTCGGATCCACTCAGATTGCTCTGAGTTTTTATTTCATTGCCTGGATCGGATATCCCCATGCGAGCCCTCAAGACGCGTTCAATCAGAAATCGTCAGATCCCGGATCACTCGAATCAGGGATAAATGTCGTGAATGGCTGATTCACCTCAACATAGGACTGCTCAAACTGCTCTATCCGCTGTTTGACCAACTCCGCGATTCGTCGCACACGCATATCAGGATGGACCTCGGCGACATCAAAGATTGGCGAATCCGCTTCGCGCACTCGTGTCATCAACACCATGGTCACCAATGTTGAGTCTATCTCGGGATCGATGAGTGAATCGGAAGTCAGTGCTTGCTGAACGCGTTGATCGAATGAGTCTAATGCCGGCGCTGTTGCCCGTACAGGGAGCTTGCCAAGCATCCAGATCTTCGTTGTGGTATCCGCATTCTCGTACGCGTTCCAGAGCGCTTCAATAACCTGATCAAAGTCACTCTCACCTAAGTCAGGGCGTAAATCCGGGCGATACATCACTGATGTAATGCCGGCGACCGATCGCCGGAATCGTTCGTGTTCAGTCGATCCGATCCCGTCAATCAATGCAGTCACGCTTGCCTTCGCTTCAGGAAGAACCTTTCGAGTCACCAAGGAAGTCTCGCTCACCAATCCAAATGGCGAGTTCACGAGACCACCTCTTGGGAGCGGCTTGAAACCTTGCAACGCACGCCATCGCTGACGAACGACGGACTGTGGTTGCGAGTGAATCAACCAACGCGTCTGCACCGTATCTGGATCAATCTCAAAGGTCACCGCCTCGAGCGGTTTGAGCCTGAGTCTTCTTCCGAGATCGAGCACTTTCGCACTTCCAGTACCTCGGAAACGACTCTGGATCTCTCTAAATCCAGGTACGATTAAGAAGTTTGAGTCGATTGGGCTCGAGCTCCCAAGTGAAAGAGGAAGAGTTGAACGATTGGTGAGTTCGATCCTGAGTCCGGCATGCTCGCCGTGCTCAAAGCTGTCCTTGGTCGGTACGATGTTGAGCGCCATTGTGTTCTCGGGATTGGTGATCATCTTCTCAAACCACTGTGGGATGTTTGAAGCGAGTTCCTGCATCAGCTCGCCTTCCTCAGTGATCTGACTTTCTCCCGTTGTCAACTCCTCCAAGCGTGTACGCGCATAGGCGCCCGCGGCTTCTAACGCATAATCTAGCGTGAGCTGTGTATATATCTCGATCGCTTCATCAGTCTGACCAAGCCGTTCGCTGGAAATCGCAATGATGAGATCACGAGGTCCGGACCTCGCGAGCGTGTCCATCGCTTGCTTCTTTGCGATTTCATACTCTCCACCTGCGAAACGACTAAACGGCTCGAATGGCTGAAAGAACGGCTCCAGCTCTGGAGCGTTCTCGATAATCCGCTTCATGTCCGTCTCGATGACTTCCTGCTCAACACCAACGATGGCACGCATCGTCTGATACCCTACAACTTCTTTGAGGTATTCAGCCAAGATCTGCATGCGGTTCGCACCGCGCTGCTTCATTCTTTCCTGCGCTTCCTCATAAAACGCGTTGAGCCCGTTCCTCAGATCGATTAATACCGAATCAACTGTTTCTTGATCGCCGAGACTGAATGCCGCGAGCAATCGAATCTGATCGATCCCGCGGTCGTATCGGATTTCTTCTGGGCGCTGCAAGTCATCAATCGGTTCACTCGCCGCGAGTCGAGATTCGATGCGTGCCTTGAGCGTGGCACGCTCATCAGCAAGCGAAGGATTTAACTCCTCAATAATCGCATCGGGACCTTCGTATTGCCAGAGCAATGACAACTGTTGTTCCTGCAGCAGTGATGGCACCTGACCGACATCCGTTTTATAAATCCTGATCGCATTGTTCAGGAATCTCCAAGCCGCATCCGTTGCGCCTTCCGCGGCACACATTCTTGCGATCGACAGATGCACATGAGGATCAAGCGGATCAGAGTTCAGCACACGCATCTGCAGACGCATGCGAGTCGCCGCATCTTCTATTTGATGAGAGTACTGCTGAGCGACCAATGACTGAGCCGCCTTATGCGATGGATCAAGCTTCGCGGACTTGCGGAGCGCCACAAGAAACTCGGTATCGTTGCCCCGTTCCCGCTCTAGCAACGCGAGATCCAGCATCAGTCTCGATCGTACTGCGGGATCGATTGATTGTCCCTCAGGACCGAGGAAGCGTTCGTATGCATTGACTCGAGCTTCTGCAGTCTGCTGACGATTGATGATTGAGCTGATTAATCGTAACTGAGCAACCGTGTCTCGTGGATCATTACGAACGACCAAGCGTGTTGCTCGTATGACAGACTCTTGATCACCCGCGAGCCAAGCGGCTTCAACCAACGAACGCGCCAGATCCGTATCGCTCGGATCGAGATCAGTCGCCATCGCGAGCATGTACATCGCGAGCTCATAATCCTCAGGAGTGACCGGCTCGTTGAGCGATAGATCCAACCCCGCGACAGTTTCAACTGCATCGGACGCGAGTTGTCCGCTGACCTGAGCGTGCGATTGACTTATGGCCAGTGTGGTTGCGACGATGACCAGAATACGACCAAGTTGAATCATGCCAACCCTCCATCCATCAGGCGCCCTGCGACGACCAACACAAAACACAAAGCACCCATCCCGATCAGCACCCAGTGTACTCGCATACTCAACACACGAGGCGTTCGTGAGAATACTCGCTCAGCGACAAAGTGCAGGAATACCAACTGACCGCCGCAGAGCATCCCGATGCCGATTAGTATCTGCTCTAGCTTTCCTAGATTCCCAAGAAATCCAGGAAGCGAGTCGTCCATCAAAATCCACAATCCGATCACAGCAAGCGCCATGGACCAGGCGCTCGCTCCGAGCAAGCGCGCAAAAACGGAGATCGCACCACTCATATCCAAGCGATCCGGTACATGGTCAAAGTGATTGACTGTTTCTGGCGCGAGTTTCGACATACTCGACATTGCTCATTCAGGAAGCTCGTACATTGCGTATCCATCCATAGATACGCCAGTTGAGTGTACCACATCAAGCCGATCGGGGTTCTTCAGAAACCGCGCTCTGCCCGAGATTCAATCAGCCCAATGCCATCGCCATCAGGAACTCAGCGTTGGTCTTGTGCTTCCCGAGTCTGGACTTGAGCAGCTCCATCGCTTCGACCACGTTCATGTCCGCAAGGACCTTCCGCAGTCGGTACACCAGCTCCAGTTCCTTCGGATCCATGAGCAGTTCCTCGCGGCGAGTTCCCGATGCCGCGACGTCGATCGCGGGATAGATCCGCTTCTCAACGAGACGACGATCCAGATGCAGCTCGGAGTTACCCGTCCCCTTGAACTCTTCGAAGATCACCTCGTCCATCTTGGACCCAGTATCCACAAGAGCCGTCCCGATGATGGTCAGCGAACCACCACGCTCGATCGCGCGAGCAGCGCCGAAGAACTTCTTGGGACGCTGGAGCGCGTTGGAGTCCAGACCGCCGGTCATGATCTTTCCGGAGTGCGGGATCTCGTTGTTGTACGCGCGAGCCAATCGAGTGATCGAATCGAGGAAGATCACGACGTCCTCGCCGTACTCGACGAGACGCTTCGCTTTCTCGATGACCATCTCCGCGACCGCGACGTGGCGCGACGATTGCTCGTCGAAGGTCGAGGCGACCACCTCGACACCCTCAGCGACGTTCCGCTTGAAGTCCGTCACTTCTTCCGGACGCTCGTCGACGAGCAGCACGAAGATCTTGGTATCCGGGAAGTTCGCTGAGATTGACTTGGTCATCTTCTGGAGCAGCACCGTCTTACCAGTGCGAGGCGGCGCGACGATCAGCGCCCGCTGTCCTTTCCCGATCGGAGCGACCAGGTCCACGATCCGCGTCTCGATCGAATCGGGTTCGGTCTCCATCAAGAACCGCTCCTCAGGGTGCATCGGGACCATGTCCTCGAAGTTCACCAGATCATGGATCTGCTGCGGATCACGATCATTGACCGTCTCCACCTTGAGCAGCGCGAAATACCGCTCCGACTCCTTCGGCGGACGGATCGCACCACGTACCGTCATCCCGCGACGAAGACCAAATCGACGGATCTGCGATGGAGACACATAAATATCATCCGGACCAGGCAGGTACGAGAGCTCAGGACTCCGCAGGAATCCGAACCCATCGCTCATGATCTGGAGCGACCCCTCTCCAAACATAATCCCTTGCTTCGCGGCACGAGTCTTGAGGATCTTGAAGATCAGATCCTGCTTCGGGATCTGATGGAAGTCCTCGAGTCCTTCCTTCTCCGCGACCTCGAAGACCTCGTCGATCTTCATCTTCTGGAGATCATTGAGGGTGATGCCCTCCTCGATCATCTTCCCACCAGATGCAGCAACGATGCGTTCGAGTTCCTCGGCTTCGCGTTCGAGTTCCTCGTCCGAAGGAAGCACGCCGTAGTTAAACGATGTCCGCTGGCGCTTGTTCTGACGATTCTGCTGACCGCCGTTGTTGCTTGACCCCCCTGAACCGCTGGAGCCGCGTCGCTTCTTGCGTTTGCGTCGTCGTGAGCCCCCATCGCCGTCGCTGCCAGAACCGTTGCCGGCCCCACCACTGGAGTTGGATCCGCCGTTGTCCCCTGAGTTCTGACCTGACCCTGAATCCTGGGACGATCCAGAGGATTCCGATTTCGGAGTCGATTCAGACTTGGACGAGGATTCGGACTTGGAAGCAGCCGTTTCAACCTTGGATTCGACCTTGCTCTCGGCTTTGGAATCCGCTTTGGAATCGCTCTTGGTGGTCGAGGCCTTCTTGGTCGTTTTCTTGGTGGTTTTCTTCTTCGCAGCCTTCTTCTTGGACGCGGCGGTCCCCTTGGCGCTCTTGTCGGCTACTTCGGTCGCTTTACTCATCGGATTCCCCGTGTGTGTTCTCGATGGACCCCATGAGCGGTCGCTCATCAGCAAGGGTCCGCATGCCGAGCGCTCTTCAGCACCGGCTCAGAAAGAACATGATTCATATCGGTGAAAGGAAAGAAGATACGGCAAACAACAACGCTTCGAAGCAGCCGTATTTGGATATCAACAGGATTCAGCTCGCACCCAGGTTCCGCTCGATCTCTTCAAGAATCCGGGATACCTGAGCTGGCAGCTCATTCTTCGTGCCGCCGTTGGCTACTACATAATCGGCCCTCTCCCGCTTTTGTTCAAGTCCCATCTGGGCTTTTTCTCGACGATCCAGCTCAGATTCGTCCCATCCACGCCCCTCAGACACCCTCTGGACACGCATCCGCTTGGGAGTCTGCACAAAGACCACCGCATCGCACTCGCTGTCCACCCCCGCTTCGTACAGCAGCGGAGCATCCACGATCACGGCGCGGATCCCCCCATCGGAGCGTGCTTTTTTGATCAGGTCGTGCCGATCCTTGTGGATCAGCGGATGCACCAGCCCCTCAAGCTTGGTCCTCGCGTCACGATCCCTGAACACGATCTGTGCGACTTTCTTGCGATCCACACCCCCCGACTCGTCCAGGATCTCATCCCCCCACCACGAAACCAGCTCCTTGACCACCGTCGGCTGCTTGAGTGCCGCCGCTCCGCTCTTGTCTGAATCCGAGACCACACACCCCAAATCCTCAAATGCACGCGCCACCGTCGATTTCCCCGATCCGATCCCGCCGACGAGCCCGATCACAGGCATCCGGCGATTCGTCGCTCCGCTCCCAGAATACCCATCCGCGGCCGCGAGAATCATCTCGCGGATCTGCTCAGGTTTCTCAACCCCTCTCCAGACCAGTTCCACGTTCCCTGTCCCAGCACTGCTGATCCCGACCGATCCGATCCCAAAGAGGCGTTCCACGAGCGTCCGCACCACAACGAGGTGCTGGACGCGATCGAGTCCCATCTCGGACCGCACTGTCGAGAGAATCCCGTATCCGCTGACCACGCGGCGCTCTGTTAAGCGATGCACACGCACCACGCGATCGAGAGCCGCGTACAGGATCCGGATCACGACCAGCACCAAGACCCCCCACCCCAGATAGACCAGCCCATACCCCGGCTGCTGCCCGTCGAGCCAGATCATCAACCCCCAGATCAGCACCCCGAACACGATCCAACGCCAGGACTGGGTGACGATGAACACCGGATGCGGGCGATCGTCGTAGATCACCCGCTCCTCGTTGGTCCCAGACTCAGCGTGCTGCATCATCATCGCTCAATTGTACCGCATCCGAACGCTGTGCATACGCTTGGGGATGCTCACGATCGACTATGCCAACATGCTCTCGTCCCGCGTCGGCGCCCACGGGCTCGACGAGGCCCGAATCGCCCCCGGCTCCGCGGCCAGCGATGGAATCAAATCCATCACCGCCGACCTCGCCAAAACGCGAGGCACCAACTGGGAACGCTGGTTCAACCTCTGGAACGAACCGATGCGATCCGAGCATGTGAACGCGATCAAACCACTCGCCAAAGAAGCTCAAAAATACGACAACCTCGTCGTGCTGGGGATCGGTGGATCTGCACTCGGAAACATCGCGCTCCAGTCCGCGCTCAATCTCTCGACCTACAACCTGCAATCGGCGAAAGATCGCAAAGGACCGCGCGTGTTCGTCGTGGACAATGTGGATCCGGTCTACCTCGACTCGATCCTGAGCATCTGCGATCCCAAGAAGACCCTCTTCAATGTCGTCTCCAAGTCAGGCGAGACCGCCGAGACCGCAGCTCAGTTCATGATCATCCGTCAGCGCCTGCAAGACGCGCTGGGGAAGAAATGGGCGAGCCATGTCGTCGCGATCACCGATCCCGAGAAAGGCACGATGCGGACCATCTGCGACGAAGCCGGGATCACCACCCTCCCAGTCCCCGAAGGTGTCGGCGGACGCTTCTCATCGCTCTCGCCAGTCGGCTTGTTCAGCGCCGCCGCTGCGGGGATCGACATCGACGCGCTCCTCGACGGCGCCAAAGCGATGGACGAACGCTGCTCGAATCCTGATCTTCATCAGAACCCCGCCGCGATGCTCGCGTTGCTGTTGGTTGAGATGGGCACACGCAAGGGCAAACCGAATCATGTGATGATGCCGTACTGCAACGCGCTGTACCTCATGGCGGACTGGTACCGCCAGCTCTGGGCCGAGTCGCTCGGGAAGAAGTTCGACATCAACAACGAGGTCGTCTTCGCGGGATTCACTCCCATCAAAGCACTGGGCGCGACGGACCAGCACTCACAAGTGCAGTTGTATAGAGAAGGCCCAAACGACAAGGTCTTCATGTTCCTCGAGGTCGAGGAGTTCGACACCGACATTACCATTCCGACTGGGATGGGTGTCGAAGCGATCAGCTACCTCGAAGGCAAGAACATGTCCGCGCTACTCAACGCCGAGAAGCGAGCGACGGAGTACGCGCTGATCGATTCGATCCGTCCGAACCTGACCATCAAGTTCCCGAAGGTCGATGCGCACCACATCGGCGAGTTCATCGCGCTCTGGCAGATCGCGACCGCGTACGCCGGACGGATGCTCAATATCGATGCGTACGACCAACCCGCCGTGGAAACCGGGAAGAAGGCGACCTTTGGACTGATGGGACGCGAGGGGTACGGGGAGTGGTTGACGAAGGTGAATGAGGCGTTGGATTCAACATCATACAGCGTCTGAGGCGTTAACCACGGCGGCGACGCGAGGAAACAAGTCCTACGAGCCCGAACAACGCTAGTGAAGATGGTGTCGGCACAAAGGAAACCTGCGAACTGGTAATAGATCCGATTGCACACTCACCAAAAGAAGCTCCAATCTCAACAAAAGATAATGGAAAATTATTGATATCATTCAATGCGAAGATTTCATCAGCAAGGACATCGTTACTGAATGCTGTTAGGGATAATAAATCGATATAATTTACTGCAAGAAACCTTATAGGGGAATGATTATCTAGGGGGTAGTACAATGAAAAGAAGTCACCAAAAACAGTATCATCGTTCCACAAATCCAGACCATGCGGCTCCGTTGATCCAACAAGCAAAGTGTAATCCGCAGTCTGGAAGCTGAATTCGGTAACAGCTCCGCTATAACGCCCTCTGTTTGGATTGTTGGGATTTTGATCAGGATACGAAAGATCGATGTTGAAGTGCCCAGTGAATGACGCGCCATCTATAAAGCCTAGACCAACGAATATGTCGTTTGGTCCACCATCAGGAAATAGTTCCATTTGCCCCGCTATATCAACACGCACGATTTGAGCATTGGCTTGTGTTGCCACGCCACACACTGGCGAAATATTCAATCCAATCATGGCACACACAATATAATTTTTCATTCCTTATTCCTCCAATGAACAGAGTCTATCACAGCCATTGGATTCACGCAAGAGAAATTACGAGATTGACTATAGAGCGAGTTAAAAGCATAGCGTTCAAGCAAGCAATCTCACTCAGAAGCTGAATCAATCGCTGCTTTGGCCTGATGGGACGCGAGGGGTATGGAGAGTGGTTGACGAAGGTCAACGAGGCGCTTGGGCAGACGGAGCACACCATTTAACAAGTGCCTTCATTGGATCTCTTCGATTGAATCCATACCCAAAGGTTATCGTAAGTAGATGAGTCGGAATGCTGATGGCGATCGCCAACAAGGCGATATTAATTCCACCATCGAAGTCTCCGACCATCTTCGAGAGGAATCGTGCTTGCAAAAGAGCCACAAGACCGACAATCAGCAACACAGGCCCAAAAAACCGAAGACTTAAGCGCGCCATTAGTGGGAACAAAATCGTGTAGATCAGTGCTGCAATCAGCAACAATGGCCATCCGAATATCGCCATGTAGAATGCACCAAGCAACATGTAAACGATCATTGCCGGATCAAATCCAGTTTCTTCATCTAGCGCCATCAGTAAGCCGAGCGTGTATGTCCCGATGTATCCGGTCACAATCAGCACTGCAAAGTAATAAATCACAACACAGTGGATTTTGACGAACACATCCTCGAATCGTTCTTTTGGATTCATTCCACACTCGATACCCACGCCCCACCAAGCACCCAGCTCGGATCATCCGCGTCATACATCGCCAGCGCCTGTCCCGGCGTGACCGCACGCTGGGGTTCATCGAACTCCACCTCAACGCCGCCGCTTCGTCCCGACGCGCCGCCCGCGTCCATCTCGACAAACCGCACCTTTGCCGGGACAGGGTCCATGTTGTAGCGATGCTGCACGAGCATCCGCTTCCAGTCGCGGATCTCTTGCTCGTCGATCAGCAGGTTCAGTTCGTTCGCAACGCAGCGCGATGAACGCAGCGCCTCGTCCGTCCCAACAGTAATCGTGTTCGCTTCGGGATCCTTGTCCACGACATAGATCGGATATCCGAGCGCGACCCCCACGCCTCGCCGTTGACCGATCGTGAACTTGTGCTGACCATCGTGCTCGCCGACGACTTCGCCCGATTCATCGAGGATCTCCCCCTTGACGCGCAGCTCCGGACGGCGGCGCTCGACCAGTCCCGCGTAGTCGTTATCAGGAACAAAGCAAATCTCCTGCGAGTCCGGCTTATCAAACACCGGAAGATCATGCTTCTCCGCGATCGCGCGGACCTCCGCTTTCGTCGCGTACTCCCCGATCGGGAGCATCATCTCGCTCAATCGCAGCTTGCTCGCGCCGAAGAGGACATAGCTCTGGTCTTTCGCGTCATCCAATCCACGCAGCAACCTCGGCTCATCCCCCGATCGATCAATCCGCGCGTAGTGCCCCGACGCGACATACTGCGCACCGATCTGCTCCGCGTACTCGTGGAGCTTCCCAAACTTGAGCCAATCATTACATCGCACGCAGGGGTTCGGGGTTCGACCATTCGCATACTCATCCACGAAGTAGTCGATGATCTTCCCGAAGTCCTTCTTGAAGTTGCAGACATATAAAGGAATGCCCAATGCTGCCGCGACCATCCGCGCGTCGTGCGCGTCTCCCACGCTGCAGCACCCCTGATGACCGATCTTGACCTTCGTCGGATCGCACGACACCCCCGCGCTGTCATACGGCATCAACTCATCGATCGTCTCCCCAGGAGATCCCAGACGCATAAAGCATCCGACGACCTCGTACCCCTGCTCCACCAGAATCGCCGCGGCTGCGGACGAATCGACCCCGCCGGACATCGCGACGAGGACCTTGCTGCCTGGTTTTGGGTGATTCTCAGCCATGAATCATTCTATCTCTATGAACCACAAGCGGTTAAACGCCACTTGGCAAGATTATCCCCGCTTTGGGGGGGTGTAGTACGGGTCATCGTCCGTGTCGTCGTCATCGCGTTTGGGATCGTCGATCTGGATGCGGATGTTGTCGAGCATCTGGTACAGCCGATTCCGCTCCTCCGGATCGAGTTGCTCCGCGACAGCGAGCATCCCCTCGATAGTCAGCTGTTTCTTGATGTTGCTCCCATCAGGAAGTCTGCGGAGCGCTGATCCCGGCTTATCCGACAGAAACTCTGGATTCTGGTCGATCATGTCCGCCATCTTCCGCAGCATCTGACTCGCGGTCTGTGCGCCCACGCCGTGCCCGACGCGGACACGCACCGGCGCGACGCTCGGCTCGGATTCGGGACGATTGATGATCGTCCCAGTGATCACATGCCCATCCTGATCCACACTCGGATCGTCCTCGCGATCGATCGCCGATGCGTTGAGTCCAGAGAAGTACGCCGCGAGGTTGGAGGGGTCGTGAGTCAGCGGATATTGAACATCTTCAGTCATGCTCAATGGTAGGCAACCCCTCCACACCCCCCCCAAAGCCCATTCATTCCCGATCTGGCACACCATTCGCGTATGTCCATCAACGGAAGGAGTCCGAACATGTGGCGATGGATTGTCACCCTCATTAGTTGCGCAGCGTTCTGCGCCACTCCTGCGCTTGCAGGCAAAACACTGCGCGATGTCACGCGAGTCAAGGGACAGGGTGCATCGCTCATCCAAGGACTCGGCCTCGTCGTCGGTCTCAACGGGACCGGAGACTCGGGAACCGAGCTCGCGATGGCGCGCCCGCTCGCCGCGGCGCTGACCAATATGGGTAATCCCGTCTCGATCGATGAACTCGCCAACACCAACTCCGCCGCACTCGTGCTTGTGACCTGCTCCATTCCTCGCGAGGGCGCGAAGGTTGACGACGAGTACGAGGTCACGATCTCCGTCATCAACTCCGCGCAGTCCCTCGAAGGCGGGATCCTGCTGATGACCCCGCTCACGCCGCGCCCGAACTCGCCCGTCTACGGCTTTGCCAACGGGCGACTCACCCTTCCGGATGAGGACAACCCCACCGTCGCGATCGTCAACAAAGGCGCACAGATCGTCCGCGACATCAACACGATGCCCAACATCGGCGCTTCGTTCGATCTCATCATCGATTCCCCCTTCGCTGGATGGGGTCCCGCCGCGTCCATGGCGTCTGAAATCGACCAGAACTACAGACTTTCCTCCGATCGACTCGGAGAACCACTCGCACGCGTGATCGATCCACGCACGATCCGCGTCACTGTCCCAACCAACGAACGCTCCAATCCGGGATCATTCTTCGGGCATGTCATGGAGACCAACATCTCCGGCGCGCTCCGCAAGCTCCCGGCACAGGTCATTTGCGACACACGAGCCGGGATCATCGTGATGACGGGCGATGTCGAGGTCTCCCCCACTGTGATCACGCACAAAGACCTGGTCATCACCACGCTCGTCGATCCGCTCGCTCAACCACTGCAGAGCGAATCGGAGTTCGCCGCGCTGCAAACTGACGACACTACGGACTCCACAAGCGCCAAGCTCCAAGATTTGATCAGTGCGTTCGACCAGCTCGATGTACCACCACGCGAGCAGATCCAGATCCTCGAACTCATACATAAAGCGGGCAAACTCAACGCGCGACTCATCATCGACGGCGTCGGATAAATAGACGGATACAGAAACACCCCAAGAGGTCCATCATGAGCTCAATCAATACATCCAACTCCATCAGTGTCCAAGCCGCGATCCTCGCCGGGAAGCGTGCAACCGACCCAAACGCTAGCCCGCTCCGATCGGCGCATGACAACGCGATCCGTTCCAAGAGCGGCGATGAACAGAACGAAGGCAAAGTCGCGACGAATCCTGAGGACCTCCTGCGCCGAGCAGGATCGAGCGATTCAACGATCCTCAACGACCAAGGGACTACACCAACCCCTCGCGAAGCGAGAGCACTGGACACCGCTCAGAAACTCGTCTCCACCACACTCATCAAACCGATCCTCGCGCAAGCTCGTGAAACACGCGACGCACCGGCGCCATGGGGACAGACACAAGGTGAGAAGCAGTTCGGTGCGTTGCTTGATAACCGGATCGCGGACGACATCGCACGCGCCTCAAACTTCCCGATCGCGCAGCGCATCGCTGAGCAGATCCTCAAGAACTCACCGATTGATAGCCCGTCAACCATCCAGCACACCCCTGTGGACCTCTTCGGATGATCAGCACACCTCCACAATCCACAGCGAACCACACCGATCTGGATCGACTCGATGCGTTACTTGTCGATCTGGAGCAGGAGCATCACAAGCTCCTCGAACTCGCGGGACTTCAGCGTGAAGCGATCAGCCGTGCCGATGCCAAAGGGATCGGTGAGATCGTCGAGACCACCGCAGAAACCCTCGGACGCATCGCGAGCATCGAGCAGGAACGACGCAAAGCAATCAAACAAAGCGACGGCACCATCCCCACTGTGGACCAGATCATCCAAGACGCCGACGAGCATCACGCACGCACGCTCACAAACCGCTCTCGATCGCTCCGCAAGCTCATGGCACAGCTCAAGGAAGAACATGAAGCCGTGCGTGTCGCGTCACTCGCGCTCACCAATCACATGAATGGCTTGATGGAGCAGGTCAGCGCCAAACTCTCGCACTCTGGAACCTACGGGCGGCGCGGAGCCGTCGATCCAGGAAGAAACCAGGTCGTATCCAGCTTGGACACGATGCGTTAACCACTTGCAGAAGGAAAGGAGCAAGCCATGAGTCTGACATCTTCACTCCACATCGCTCAGTCCGCGCTCGCGACTTCGCAGATCGGTCTGCAAGTGACATCGCAGAACCTCGCGAACGCCGCGACCCCTGGATACACTCGGCAGGTTGCGCTGCTCCAAGCCGTGCGTGGAAGTGTCACCGATCCATTCATCATCGGCTCAGGTGTTGCGATCCAAGAAGTGCGCCGCCAGATCGATACCGCGCTCCAATCACGCTTGTGGAACGCAAACTCAGAAGAATACAACAACGCACAGCAACTCAATGTCTTCAACCAACTCGAAGCGATACTCAACGAAGGCACAGAGTACGATCTCTCATCAGAACTCTCCTCGTTCTTTAATGTCTGGTCCGAAGCGACCACGCTGCTTGATTCATCTTCAACAGTGATCAACCAAGGCAAATCGATCGCGAGTTTCATCAAGAACATGCGTGAAGACCTGCTCGATCAGCGCCAACAGATCGAGAATCAGATCGACTCGCAAGCTACGCAAGCCGACGCACTCTTCGCGGAAATCGCACAGATCAACTCGACCATCTCCAACAGCGAAATCGGGGAGACAGAAGCGAGCGCACTGCGTGATCGCCGTGATCAGATCGTCACTCAGCTCTCTCAGCTCGTGGAGATCACCACCGTTGAAACCAACCAAGGCGGGTACGATGTCTTCATCGGATCCACCCCGATCGTGCAAGGCAACCGCTCTCGCGGGATTACCATCGACCGCCAATCCCAAGGCGGCACAGTCAATGTCACGCTTAACACCGCTGACAACAACGACACACTGACAGTGACCTCTGGATCCATCGGCGGACTCCTCAACTCACGCGACGGCGCGATCGACGAAACCATCGAGAAGCTCGATCAGATCGCATCCAACCTGATCTTCGAGGTCAACAAGATCCACTCGACAGGGATCAATGAAGACTGGCTCAGCACCGCGCTGGGAACACTCCAGATCTCCACCGCGAACCAATCACTCCCGCTCAACGATCCCGCGAACCGCGATCTTGCCGATCTCCCATACGCGCCTGAGAACGGCGGATTCTTCGTCAATATCCGCAATGAAGATACCGGAACCTCTGATCAGATCTGGGTCCCAGTTGATCTCGACGGAATCGATACACTCGGAACAGCATCCGTAGCGGACGATACCAGCGCCGAAGACATCCGCGCCGCGATCGACGCGATCCCAGGACTCACGGCGAGCTTTGATCCATCGGGACGCCTGCAGATTGATGCCGCATCCGGATTCTCGTTCTCATTCTCCGAAGATTCCTCCGGCGTGCTGGCAACACTCGGAGTCAACACCTTCTTCCAAGGCATTGATTCTACAGACATCGCCGTCCGGGATGATGTCACCGTCATGCTCGGACGACTCGCTCCCGATGGCTCATTCAGCGCCAACGAGAACGCGAATCTCCTCGGACAACTCGGCACACAAGCAATCAATGGACTAGGAGGACAGAACATCGAGAAGTTCTGGAGCATCCAGTCGCAGAATGTCGCGGTCCAAGCCGCTTCAGCACGCACACAAGCGGACGCTGCGTTCTTGGTTCGCCAAAGTCTCGACAACCAACGCGCCGGTGTCTCAGGAGTGAGCATCGACGAGGAATCGATCAACCTACTGACCTTCCAACGCCAGTACCAAGGCGCTGCCCAGGTCATCACCGCCGCTCAGGAGATGTTCGACACACTGCTCACGCTCGTCTGATCGTGCGCAATAGGAACCAACGCCATGTCCAGCTTCCCCACTTCATACTCTCGCGCCCCATCGCTGATGTTCACGATGCAGAATCTCAACAACATCAACGCGACCAATATATCGATCGGTAGACTCACAAACCAGCTCGCATCTGGACTCGATATCCTGCGCCCATCAGATGATCCGGTCCGCAGCGCGACCATCTCCACGCTCGACACACGCATCGAGAGCACCAATCAAATCCTGCAGAACCTCAACTTCGCTGGATCTTCTGTCGGCTCACTCGACCAGCTCCTCGCGGATGCCAAATCCCTTGTCGACGAAGCAGCATCCATCGCATCATCGCAAATCAACTCCGATCCCGAAACACGCGAGAGCCAAGCAGTCATCATCGATTCACTGATCGACTCTTTATTCTCTATCGCCAATCAGGAGTCCCTCATCGGATACTCCTTTGGAGGATCAGCTCCCGGCCGTCAACCGATCATCTACGATCGCGGCGCGTACCGATTTGTAGGTGAAGTCGGAGGAATCACCGCCGCGCTCGGCGCCGCGTCCAATGTCCCGCTCACCCTCGGCGTCGGAAACGCGATCGGTGAACTCTCCAATCGACTCGAAGGCAGCGTCGATCTCGATCCCGGACTGACTCCCGACACGCTCCTGTCGGATCTCAACGGTGCCAACCAAGTAGGTGTCAATACAGGAATCATCGAGTTCAGCTACAACGGCGGACAGGTCGCGCAGGTCGACCTCGCCGGAGCGGTCACCGTAGGCGATGTGCTCGATCGACTCAACGCCGCGGTCGTGCAGTACGAAGCAGACCAATCCGTCACCGTGCTCGGACCAAGCGCCTTCTCCATCAACGGCGACTCCATCAGCATCGATATCCCCGCAGGGAACCTCGAGTTCTTCGATCTGCAGGGATCGAACATCGGTTCCGATCTCGGCTTGGTCAACAATGCCGCCGTGCCGTTCTCTTCGACCAATCCCGATGGACTCAACCTCGATCCGCAACTGACTTGGACCACCCCAGTATCTGTATTCAACGGATTGGGTGGATCTCCACTCGGATCGATCCAGCTCACCAACAACGGCTCAACACACACCATCGATCTCTCTGGAGCCCAAACCCTCGCAGACATCAAGAGCGCGATCGAATCCGGAAACACAGGCGTGCGAGTGCTGATCTCGGAAGACCAACGCTCAATCAACATCATGACCGAGAGCGCTGGACTCCAATCCCACGCGCTCTCGATCGCGGAAGTTGCCGGAGGAGGAGGCACCGCGGAACTGCTAGGTATCCGCACATTCGCCGCCGACACACCGATCTCTGTATTCAACGATGGTTCAGGCATCAACATCGTCACCGGACGCACCGATCCGCTCACTGGACTTGTCGATCCAGCTCTCAATACCGATTTCGAGATCAACCTCGGCGATGGATTCACGATCAGCATCGATCTCGGACCGAGTGACATCACCACAGTCGGAACCCTCGTCAACGCCATAAACACCCAAGCAGACGCGCAGCTCACCGCCGCGGGTCGTCCAACCACAGATTTCACGGCCAATGTCGGCGCAATCAGCAACGGCATCGAGTTCAACCAAGATCCTGGACTCGCAACAGGTGGCGCTATCTCAATCCGTCCCGTCAACAACTCCACCGCCGCTCAGCAGCTCGGATTCCTTGACGCAAAGGCGAACGGGAGCGGCACACTTTTGCGCTCCGAGGATCGTGCCACAATCCGTGTAAACAACCTTTTCTCCCATCTTCTGGACCTTTCCGAGGCATTGAAGAACGACGACACCTTTGGCATCGAACTTGCGACAAAGAGACTCGGACTGAGTCAGGATCATGTGATCCAAGCTCGATCCACCGTCGGCGGATACGCACGCCGTCTCGATGACGAGACACGCCGACAAGAGGACCGCCTCGTATATGACGAAGCCGTCCGCTCGCAGCTCAGAGATCTGGACTTTGCGTCCGCATCCTCCGAGTTCGCGCAGCTGCAACTCCAGCTCCAAGCGGGGCTCAGCGTTGCAGCACAAACACAGCAGCTCACGCTGCTGGACTTCCTCGGCTAACGCCGTGGATGACATAGACCCGACCCGGTGAAAGCCGGGAACGGAAATTGGATCGAGAACCCCCCCACAGTCGGTCGTGAGGGGAGCTCAGGACAGGATGTCGACCGGTATGGATACCGGCGTCGATCCGACAAGGCAGACCGACAAAATCGGAGCGCACAACAATGGAAGTGCGAACGACAAGATTCGGTGTAATCGATATCGCGGAGGACCGCGTGATTACATTCCCAGAGGGTCTCCTCGGTTTCAGTGACAGGACACGATTCTGTCTGCTACAACCAGGTGACGACGCATGTTTCTTCTGGCTTCAATGTCTGGACGACCCAAACCTCGCGTTCGTGGTCACTGATCCGACATTCTTCGAGCAGGATTACTCAGTCCCCATCCGCCCAGAGCAGATGAGCGGGCTCAAGCTCCAGAAGCTCGAAGACGCACAGGTCTTTGTCATCGTCAACAAGATCGATGAACAACTCACCGGCAACTTCCAGGGACCGTTGATCATCAACACCCTCGATAAAGTCGGCGAGCAGATCGTGCTCTCAGACAAACGATGGACAACCCGTCACCCGCTCATGCGAGTCTCGGAACAATCGACACAAACAGCGTCGGCCTGATACCAGACCAACGCTCGGGGCATCCAACACACACCTACACGCACGCATCGTGCGGTGTGATTGGTACGCCAATACACCCGTGAATCTGTCGTTCTGATTCATGGAACCAAAGAGACTCTTCCGTCTGGTCACCAAGAACCAGCGCGGATTCGTGTGCAAGGAGTTGACGCATGCTTGTGCTCTCAAGGCAGCGCGACGAGACAATCATGATCGGGGACGAGATCGAAATCTCAGTCGTCGATATCCGAGGCGACAAGGTCCGTCTCGGTATCAACGCCCCGACCAGGATCGCGGTTCACCGCAAAGAAGTCTACGACGCGATCAAGAGAGAAAATACCGAAGCCGCAAGGCTCGGGTCCACCGACCTCGACACGCTCGCCCAGACCATCAAACCTGGACCTGCTCGACGAGGACATCGGACAACTGATCTCATCACAACATCCGCAGCCGCAGTGCTGCCAGCAACGAAGGTGAGTCCCCCAGCCGGACTCACCAATACAAAGACCACCGTTTCCAGTTCACCAAAGGCTTCATCAACCAAGGACACCGCCTAAACCCCGCGCCTGAGTTATCAATGCTCAGGTAAGCAACAAGCAATCACGGAGGATTGCCATGACACGGATTAATACGAATGTCCCCAGTATGATCGCTCGCCAGCGCCTCAATAGATCAGGCGTCGATCTCCAGGTCAGACTCGAACGACTCTCAACAGGACTGAGAATCAACCGAGGCAAGGACGACCCCGCCGGACTCATCATCTCTGAACGCATCAGCACTGAGCTCAAGGGGATCAATCAAGCGATCGCAAACTCAGAGCGCGCCAGCTCGGTGATCGCAACCACCGAAGGATCGCTGACTGAGATCAACGACCTACTCAACTCCATCAAAGCGCTGACTGTCGAAGCCGCCAACTCCGGCGCGATCTCCGATGAGGAACGCGACGCGAATCAACTCCAGATCGATTCCGCGATCCAGTCCATCACCCGAATCGCCAACACCGCGACCTTTGGTGGACAGAAGCTACTCGATGGATCGCTCGGATATGTCACCTCTGGTATCGCCGTCTCCACAATCACCAAGTCCAGCATCACCGCGGCGAGCTTCATCGATGCCAACGCGATTAATGTTTCCGTCGATGTCATCGCTTCGGCGCAGAAGGGCTCCATCTATCTCAGCGGCGATAACTCAGCACTACCCGGCCCACCCGCAGACGGAACAATCCTCTCGGCAACAACCATCCAGGTACGAGGTCCAAAGGGTGTCCGAGAGATCGAACTCCTCTCAGGAACCACCTTCGCTCAACTCGTCACCAATGTGAACTCCCTGACTGGACTCACAGGCGTGACCGCAGAACTCGTTTCCGGCGCTGACGCATCCTCAGGGATCGCCTTCCGATCAGAAGGATTCGGATCAGAAAACTTTGTATCTGTCGAGCGTCTGGATAAACCAACCACTGCAGGCGTGGATAACTTCCGGACCTTCAAGCTCGAAGGAAATCCGAATGTCCCTGCCGATATTTGGGCCGATGCATCATTGGTCACCGCGACCCGCGACGAAGGACGCGATGTCTCTGCATTGATCAATGGGAATGTCGCCAATGGTGATGGACTCACTGTCTCTATTGGATCACCATCGCTCTCACTGAAGCTTGATCTGTCTGAGTCATACGCAACGGATCCGACACTCACAGTGTCCACCTTTGATATCACCGGCGGCGGTTCCCTCTACCAACTCGGACCAAGTGTCAACGCATTGCAGCAGTCCAATATCGGGATTCAATCCATCGCATCCGAAGCGATCGGAGGTGTCCTAAAGAATGGTACTGTGAACTTCCTGTCTTCACTCCAGACAGGGAAGGCGAACTCACTTGCCGCCGCGGATGCGAGCAGAGACTACTCAACACTCTCAGATATTGTGGATACCGCGATCGACGAGATCTCCATCCTGCGTGGACGCTTGGGTGCATTCGAGCGAAATGTGCTCGATGCGAACTCACGATCACTCCAAGGCGCATTCGAGAACTTGACCGCATCGCAGAGTTTGATCCGAGATGCTGACTTTGCCGCTGAGTCATCAGAACTGACGCGTGCTCAGATTCTCCAGTCGTCTGGTACGACCGTACTCTCACTTGCAAACCAGCAATCTCAGCAAGTCCTCCAGTTGCTCGGATAAGCAACTAAGTAAAGACGAAATCAGCCGAGACAACGCAAGATAAGAAGCAATCACCACCAACCCCCTCAATGTGAGGGGGTTTTTTCATAGGAAAACTACCTAGATTTCCGGACTTCGAGTCCGGATAACTCTGTTGTGACCAAAAAAATATCCTTGATCTGAGGAGAGCACTGAATCCGTGGTCATTGTGCGCCGATCCGTGATCCATCATCCGGGTGTGTACCCGGTGTGAAGGTCAGCTTTGCGATGCACATCGCAAGCCGCCGAGCCGAGCAATGAAGCAAGGCAAGGCAAAGCGGACGGCTAAGGAAAGTCGCCCGTTCAATGGACTCCGGAAGTTTGTCCGGAGATAACACGGAGGTTGTCAGCCAATGACACGCATCAACACCAACGTTTCGTCACTGATCGCACAGAACGTGCTCGGTCGTAACAACAAATCACTCGGCGTCGCGCTCGAACGCCTTTCCACCGGTCTCCGGATCAACCGTGGTAAGGACGATCCAGCGGGTCTGATCGCTTCGGAAACTCTGCGTTCCGAAAAGGCAGGCCTCAACGCAGCAATCGGCAACGCCGAACGCTCCGAGCAAGTCGTCAACATCGCTGAAGGCGGTCTCCAGGAAGTCTCGAACCTCCTGACCGAACTCCAGGGACTCATCACCACCTCGGCGAACTCCGCTGGTCTCTCGGTCGAAGAAAAGGAAGCGAATCAGCTCCAGATTGATTCGATCCTCCAGACCATCGACCGCGTCTCCGGCGCAACCGAGTTCCAAGGCACTAAGCTCCTCAACGGTAACTACGACTACCAGACCACAGCGGTCGCAGCAGGCGTCACTGACTTCGAAGTCCGCGGTGCAAAACTTGAGAGCGGAAACACACTCTCAGTAGACGCGATCGTCACTCTCTCGGCACAGCAAGCAGGTCTTCTTCTTTCCTTCGGTGGAGATCTCGATCTCACTGCTGCTTCCGACGAGTTCGTTTTCGAAGTCGCCGGTGCAAAGGGCTCGCGCGAGTTCCAGTTCGCCTCAGGTGCTGCTCTCGCAGACATCACCGCAGCGGTGAACTCCTTTAAAGATGTCACAGGAGTCTCGGCAGCAGTCATCGGCTCGTCAGGCATCAAGCTCGCATCCGTAGACTTCGGTTCAAACGAGTTCGTATCCGTCACGATTGTTGACGATGGCAACATCGCAGCAGGCGATGGCATCCTGACTTACACCGGGACCGACTTTGGGACCGCAGTTGGCGGCTCGGCGGTTGCATTCAACGCAGCTGGTGCTGCCAACGGGATCCGTGACGAAGGTCAGGACATCACCGGCACCATCAACGGCCTCACCGCTGTTGGTCAGGGCCGCACCCTCTCCGTCAACTCCGACTTCCTCGATGTCGAGTTCTCACTGAACACCGCGACCTCCCAAGCACTCGGTGCGGTCGCAGCCTTCGATATCACCGGCGGCGGTGCTGACTTCCAGCTCGCTTCCGATGTCAACATCGCAGGCAAGGTCTCCCTCGGTATCGGCGACCTCTCCGCTCGTAAGCTCGGTAGCTCTACTACCGGCTTCCTCGACGACCTCGCTTCAGGCAAGTCCTTCAATGTTGTCGATGGCAACAACCTGGACACCGCTCAGAGCATCGTCTCCGAAGCAATCAACCAGGTCTCCTCGACCCGTGGTCGCCTCGGTGCGTTCCAGAAGAATGTTGTCGGTGCAACCCAGCGTTCGCTCGGTACCGCACTCGAGAACATCACCGCTGCTGAGTCCGTCATCCGTGACGCAGACTTCGCAACCGAAACCGCGGCTCTGACCCGGAACCAGGTCCTTGTTCAGGCATCGACCAACGTCCTGTCGCTGGCAAACCAGTCGCCACAGAACGTGCTCGCTCTGCTCGGATAATCCCGAGCAGCCAACGGCTGATGCCACCAAAGAGCTGACCCTCAACGCCCCGGTCTCACCAGACCGGGGCGTTTTCATGCGCCCGCGCCGCAACAACCGATGAAAACGCTGTGTCTACCGCACAAAACAGCCGCATAGAGCAGCTCTCTGAATCGAATCAGATCCTGCGCCGTCGCTTCATCAACTTCATCCGCATCGAATGCGGCTTGCTCCCCTCATCCATCGAAGCGTACTCCAGAGATCTTGAAACTCTGATGCTCGATCTCCAAGACAAAGGGATCGACGACGCGCACAACACACTCCCAGAGCACCTCATCGCGCACATCCGCTCGCTCACCAAAGATCGAGGCTATGCCGGGACAACAATCTCGCGCCACATCGCGACCATCAAAGTCCTCTTCCGCTGGCTCTACGCCAACGACGCGATCTCTGAGAATCCCGCTGATCATCTCGACCAACCCGCGAAGTGGAAGAAACTCCCAGGAGTGCTCTCCCCCAACCAGATGAAAAAACTCCTCGCGGCTCCGTCACCCCCAGAAAGCCCAACGAATCAACCGCCGCTCTACCTCCGTGATCGTGCGATCCTTGAACTCATGTACGCCTCGGGATTGCGCGCCAGCGAAGTCGGAAACATCAACCTCGCGGACATCCTCGAACGCGTAGGCGTCGTGCGCGTGCTCGGCAAAGGCGACAAACAACGCCTCGTCCCGATGGGAACTCCCGCGATCAACGCGATGGATCAATACCTCAAAGAGTGCCGATCTTTGCTCATCACTGCCGAGCGTGCCGCGGATAAAAGAGATCGAGGAAAGCTGTTCCTCTCGCGAACCGGAAGACCGATCGAGCGCGTCCGCGTTTGGCAGATCGTGAAGCACTGGTCCAAACAAGCCGGACTCAAAGACATCCATCCACACATGCTCCGACACTCCTTTGCTACGCATCTCCTCGCAGGCGGCGCCGATCTCCGCATTGTCCAAGAACTGCTCGGACATGCCGACATCACGACGACACAGATCTACACACATGTCGATCGCTCACAGCTCCATAAGACTATTAAAAATCTTCATCCCAGAGGCTGATCCGAGTTCCATCACAATCAAGCAACTTGCGATCACACACGCCATCGATTAGGGTGGTTACTCCGACATCCCCAGAAGAACGAGGTGCATCATCAATACCGACACTGTCATGAAAGTGCTCGCCATCGCGATCTACGCGATCATTCTCCTCGCGATCGGTTACTTCGCTTCAAAGAGAATGAAGAACATCCGAGACTATTTCGCATCAGGAAAGAACCTCGGATTCTTTAATGTCGCGTTCTCCGCGCGAGCGACCGGCGAATCCGCGTGGCTCCTCATCGGACTGACCGGCATGGGATACGCCTTGGGTGCGAAAGCCTTCTGGGTTGTCCTAGGAGAAATGCTCGGCGTTGGTGGCGCTTGGCTCTTGATGTCCCGCCGATTCAAACGCCTCACCGACCGCTACGACTCCATCACAGTCCCCGACTATCTTGAGTCCCGCTTCCGAGATTCCGGACATTGGCTGCGCCTCATCGCGGGAGGATCGCTCGTCATCTTCGTCCCGATCTACGCCGGAGCACAGGTGTTCGCGACAGGAGACGCGTTCAATAGTTTCCTCGGATGGGACCACCTCCTCGGCGCCTCCGTCGGATTCATTGTCGTCCTGCTCTACATCACGCAAGGCGGATTCACCGCAGTCGTCTGGTCCGATGTGTTCCAAGGATCGCTCATGTTCCTCGGATTGGTCTCGCTCCCCATCATCATCCTCATGGAAGCGGGAGGTGTCACCAATATCCTCGACACACTCCGCTCAATCGATCCGCACCTGCTTACAGCGCACGGCCCAGGAACTCAAGGTCCATCATCAGGTGGATGGACGACCGGAACCATCTTCTCCATTGTCGGCTTAGCCGCGATCGGGATCGGATTCTGGGGATCTCCACAAGTCTTCGTCCGATACATCTCGATGAAGAACGAGAAGCAAATCGCTCCAGGCGCCGCCACCGCGTTGATCTGGACACTACTCGCTGATTCAGGCGCCGTCCTCGTTGGTGTCTTCGGACGAGCTGTATTCAGCCCAGAGCAACTCGGGAGTGATCACGAAGCGATCCTCCCAACTGCTGCACTGGAACTGCTCCCAGCATTCTTCTCAGGTGTCTTCATCGCGATGGTGCTCTCCGCGATCATGTCAACAATCGATTCGCTCCTCGTCGTCGCATCATCCGCAGGTGTCCGCGACTACTGGCAAAAAACCAAGCACCCCAACATGAGTGACGAATCCCTCGTCTCGCTCTCACGCAAGGTCACTGTTGTGCTCGCACTCGTCGCGTTCGGGATCGGCATGGGACTCCTCATCCGAGATCCTGAGAAACCACTCTTCTGGATCATCATCTTCGGATGGTCCGGGATCGCCGCGACGTTCTGTCCGACGATGATCCTCTCCCTCTTCTGGAGCAAACTCACTTCACTCGGCGCCAAGTGCGCCATGATCGCTGGATTCTTAGGGGTCCCAACCTTTAGCTTCCTTGTACCTTGGTTGCTCAAGAAAGCCGGACAAGAAACCATCGCCGGCTATCTCGGAGATCTCGATGTCCTGCTCCCAAGCTTCATCATCGGATTTGCAGTGGCAGTCGTCGTGTCGCTTCTTGACAAAGAAGGGCAAGCCAAACTCGAAGGCGTCAGAGACGATCTCCGCTTCGCGAGAACTGGTCACGACTGAGCAGAACCAAGCACACGCTCCATTCGACGCTCCACACCGCGCACCATCACCCCAACCGCGTCCTCGCAGTACGGAAAGAACAGCGAAGGTTCAAGCATCTCAAGCTCCGAGAGCAACAGCTTCCCTTCACTTCCCGGCATCACATCGACACGCGCATACAAGTGCTCTTTTCCAGCAGCATTGATCACCTGATCAGCAATCTCACGCATCTCGTCGCTGATCATCTCGCGCAGCAGCACGCACTCCTCCTGATCATCAAAGCGCGGTCTTTTCTCGATCGCGTGCGTGAGCTGTCCATCAATCACCACCAGCGAGGTCTCCCCGATCGTCTCCACGCTGTCCATGAACTCCTGAACCATCATCCCGCGATCCGCAATCAGCGAATCAAAGAACGCCTGTGCCGCCACCCCTTCCCCCCCATCAAGATCAAACGCACGCGTCCCGAACGACCCCGCCCCCACCGTCGGCTTGATCACCACGCGCTTCCAACCGCGCTCCTGCGAAAGCGCCAAAACATCCGCACCCGTCCCCCGATCAAAGAACGCCGTGGGAACGATCGGAACGCCTTCCGATTCCAGCTCCTTCAGATACCCCTTGTGCAGATTCCACTTCATCGTCGCCGCCGGATTCATCAGCGTGGTCAACCCATCGACCCGATCGATCCACTCCGCGAACGCATCAAGCTCATGCACATAGTTCCAAGTCGCCCGCACCAGCGCCACGTCAAAGCTCCCCCATTCCACCTCCGGATCATCCCACGCGACGACCACCGCATCATGCCCCGCTGACCGCAGCCCCTCCACCAACGGCTGCTCGTCGATATCCGCCTCAGGAAGCTCCACACAACTCACATACGCAATCCGCATCCGATACCTCCCAATCAACTATCCCGCGAGTCCAATCACCCCCATCCTACGAATCCATGACGGACATAACCCACCCTCGCCCCTACAATTGGACGCAAGGCGCGCCGTTGAGTGCCGCCGCGGAGAGCCGATCATGACCATCTATCAACCACTCCCAGAGCACCCCGATCTCGACGCCCAGGATATCGGCCTCCTCAACGCCGTCGCGCTCGGACACGCCCGTCTCACCCCAGAACAATCCCTCGACCTCCTCACCTCCGCCCCCCTCCACACCCTCGGACGCTTCGCCGACGCACGCTGCCGAGAACTCCACGGCGATCATCTCCGCTCCTACATCATCGACCGCAACATCAACTACACCAACATCTGCACCGCCAAGTGCATCTTCTGCGCATTCAAACGCAAAGGCGATGAGCACGACGCGTACACCCTCTCCCACGAAGCACTCTACGACAAGGTCCAGGAACTCTCCGACATCGGAGGCACTCAGATCCTCATGCAAGGCGGAATGAACCCCGACCTCCCCCTCGACTGGTACCTCGCACTCCTCAATGGACTCCGCGAACGCTTCCCCCACGTCAACGTCCACGGCTTCTCCCCCCCAGAACTCATCGAGTTCGTCAACTTCTTCGACCCTCCAGGTGCCACACTCATCGACAAAGTCCGCTGGGTCCTCATCAAACTCAAAGACGCCGGGATGGGATCACTCCCAGGCGGAGGCGGTGAAATCTTCGCCCCCGCCGTCCGTACCAAGATCGGGATGGGCAAGTGCGACATGGAAGCGTGGCTGCAGGTCATGTACGCCGCGCATTCGCTCGGGATGTTCACCTCCGCGTCCATGATGTACGGCCACATCGAGGGATACGCCGACCGAATCCACCACATGCGCCTCGTCCGCGAGTGGCAAGACAAAGCGATCCACGACTTCGGGACCGGAGAACTCCCCCACGACATCGCGTTCGATCCAACCATCAAAAAACCAGAAACCGGCGGACACTACCTCGGATTCCACGCGTGGCCCTTCCAACCAGACCACACCGCACTCGGACGACTCCCGACATGGCCGACCCCTGAAGACAAAGCACAAGGACTCCCGTTCCCCGGAGACGTCGTCGCCAAACTCGACGGCTCAGGAACCAAGGACGAGGACCCACTCTTCGGACGCCGCCTCCGCTTCGCCGGCGCGACGGAGTACCTGCGCACTCAGGCAGTTTCGCGCCTGATGCTCGACAACATCTACACCATCGGATCCAGCTGGGTCACCATGGGACCACACATCGGACAGACCGCCCTCTTCTACGGCGCCAACGACATGGGCAGCGTCATGATGGAAGAGAATGTCGTGTCCTCCGCCGGAACGACATACTGCCTTGACGAAGCCGTGCTCTGTAACCTGATCCGCACCGCCGGGTTCACCCCAGCACAGCGCGACTCGAAATACGACATCATCCGCACCCACACCAGCCCCGACTCCCCAGACCTCAAAGTCACCGACTGGTCCGAGCACCGAACCAAGCGCCTGCACATCCAGAGCGCCGAAGAATCTGAAGCAGAACAACTGGGAACCGCTCAGCTCACCATTGGAGCTACATCTGAATGATCGCTACGATCAAGCAGTTTGTACTCGTATTACTTCAGTTCATCAAACTCTTCTTCTTTTCTCTGTGCTTGCTGGCACTCTATGTTATTGCAATCGGGATCACACTAATAATCGGTGTTGTCATGATTGAGTTCACTGATTGGTCCACGGTGAAAATGGGAATCGCACTATTCCCCATCTTTTGCTTATACTACATTGTCTACAAAATCTTCTTAGAATCAAACCACGTTAAAGCTCACATCTTCCTATCTGCTCAAATACGAAAACTCAAACCCAACCCTGAAACACACTGCCCAAACTGCAGCTACGACCTTCGCGGTCTCAAAATCATCCGATGCCCAGAGTGCGGCAAGTTCAACCCGAAGTTCAATCCTCAAAAATACCTCAAACAAAATCAACAACGCAAAAAACCAAACAAAGTAGCACAAGAACGAGGTGCGACATGATTTCCCCAGTTGACCCAACCAGCCGAATGATCCAGGCGGAAATCGAGCCCGGACTCATCGCCTACACCTGCCCAAAGTCAGGAGGCGTCTGGATCGACCACAAACACTACTGGGATTGGCTCCTCAAACAGCCCGGATTCCCAAAGCCCATCCCCGCGATCAGCGATATGCCCGTCGCGATCAATGACCCGCACAACCGCCCGCTCATCTCGCCTGACTCCGGACGACTCATGACCAAGTACCGCGTCGGACACGGCCTCAGCTTCCGCATCGATCACGACTCCGTCTCAGGAGGGTTCTGGCTCGACCAAGACGAGTACAAACTCCTCCGCCAGCGGAATCTCCACGACGAGCTCCACCTCATCTGCTCGCCGCAGTACCAGCGTGAACTCGCCAAGCTCGATGCCGAGAACGTCATCGACCAGCGCATCGAAGAACTCCTCGATACGGAAACTTGCCAGCGCATCCGCGACCTTGCTTCCAAGATCAGCGATCCCAGAGCCCAATCGGTTGCGATCGCATACCTCAAAGAGTGCTTCGATGACTCCGCTGCCCAATCCTAAACCATCGCACGCTGTATACTCGCACCATGCCCCTCCGCGTGCTCCAGATCATCCTCCCTGCTGATCATCACGATGACCTCTGCGTCATCCTCGATGACGCGCGCTGCGACCAGCGATGGATCACCCCCCTCGACGACGACCTCGCGATGACTTCCGTCGTCCTGCGATCCGAGTCCGTCGAACCGATCACCGATACGCTCCGCGACAAGTACGACGACACCCACGGCTTCCGCACCATCCTTCACGACATCGAAGCGACTCACCCAGCGCTCCCCGAACCTGAGGACGAGCCCGAGCCTCAGAATGAATCCGACACTCAGCACAACGGATGGAAAACCCGCTTCGGACGCGTCTCGCGCGAGGAACTCCTCGAGGACATCCAAGACTCCGCAAAGATCACCCCTGTGTATCTGATCATGGTCTTCCTCGCGACCATCGTCGCGTGCGTGGGACTCCTCAAGGACTCCGCGCCCATCATCATCGGCGCGATGGTCATCGCCCCGCTGCTGGGACCCAACACCGCACTCGCACTGGGAACCACACTCGGCGATCCCAAGATGATCAAGAACGCTATCAGGTCCAACGTCGCCGGACTCGGGATCGCGATCATCATCTCCATCGTCTACGGCTACCTCGCCGTCCCAGACGACATCACGAGCGAGATCACAGCTCGCACCACCGTCGATACCGCCGACATCATCCTCGCCCTCGCGTCCGGAGCCGCGGGAGTCGTCGCGTTCACGACCGGCGCCTCCGCAACACTCGTCGGAGTCATGGTCGCTGTCGCGCTGCTCCCACCCACCGCGACATTTGGCATGCTGCTCGGCGCTGGAGAACCTGCACAAGCCGCGGGCGCCGCTGTCCTCGCGATGACCAACATCGTGTGCATCAACCTCAGCTCCGCCGCGATCCTCATCGCCCAAGGCGTCCGCCCCACCACGTGGTATGACAAGGGACGCGCCAACAAAGCGACCATCACCGCGCTCATCACCTGGACCATCGCGCTAGGGATCCTCGCCGTGCTGATTGTGTACTTCTGGTAACTAGTCCGAATCGCTCGACCGCTCGCGCCGGAACAAGATCTTGATCGACACCTCGATCAGATCATCCCCCTCGATCTCATCGATCTGCTTGCCCTTCGCTTTCCACTGATAGATCGCGTTGAGCAAAGGCTCATCCACTCCAGTCACCCCCGATGAGTACACATAACGACGATCACGCAAGAACTCGGCCTTCGCGACCTTGCCGTCTTTGCCAAAGTAGATCAGCACAATCGGATTCTTGGGAACCGCGGACATCCGGATCGTAGAACTGTAGCGCGGACGCACCGTGATGATCTCGAGCCCCTTGCCCGCGATCGGCGCGTTGGGTTTGTACGGATCCACATCAAGCGCCCGCTTAATTCGCGTAGCGACCACCTCCCGCTCCGACAACACACCAGGCGCTCCAACTGGTCTTTCTGTATCAGGCTGTGTGGCACTTTCTGAAGCTACTGACTGTTGTTGAGTAGATTGCTCTGATGTCGTTTCCGCTTCAACATCAGTTGGTTCATCCATAATCTGTTCGACAGTTTCTTCAGCCGTCGCGATCACAACCCCTTCACCCTCATCGACAGGGATCTGCTCAAGCACAGGTTGGACCGCTGGATCAATGATTGGATCGACAACCTCGGCATCGACCTGTGCTTCTTCCTGTTCCTCGATTTGTTCCTGAACCAGCTCTTCCGTTTGCTCAACCACTTGCATCGAATCTTCATTGTTCTCGATCGGTTGCTGCTCCGGCACAGCTTGGGTTGGTTCGGTGATCCGCTCCTCACCAGCCGCCGTGGTTTGCGCCGCTTGTTCAGTTTCCGAGATCGCCGCTTCGCCGCGGACCGCTTCGCGCTGCTCGATCCCGAGCCAATCGATCGATGCTGACTGTGCTTCGTTGAGACCAAGCCGGAGTTCTTCTTCCTGCTCAACTTGCTCGATCATCTCCTGAGGAGCCATTGATGCAAACGAATCGCCTCCACTCCCAGGAATCCCTGTCCACAGCAGCACCATCACGACCAGAGCATGCAACAGCAGACTCAGCGCCATCGATCCAGACAACGCCCCTCGCCTTTGATCAAGCTCGATCAATCCCGCGCCCATCAGTCCTCACCCCCGTCTTCCCTCCCCAGAATCGAAAACGCCCCGAGCCCAGCCCCTGTCAAACGATCCGCGAGTTCGATCAGTACTCCAGAGCTCGACCCCACATCGACAGCGAGCACGATCGGCGCTTCGGACTGTTGCTCACGCGCCTCTTGCACCATTCCCACCACCGATTCCATGTCCGCTTCTTCACGATTGACCAGAAGCCCACCATCATCAAGCACCGCGATCGTAATGGGTTCCACACGCTCCGCCGCCGTCCCCGACGCGAGCTCAGGGAGATCAACATTGAGCACATCGGCACGCACCATCATCACAATGGAAAACACAAAGAACGTCAGCAACAAAAACACCACGTCGATCATCGGCGTCAGCTCAACACGCACCTCATCCACATCGCGCCGAAGCCGTCTCATCCTGTCCCCCCACCATCCGCGACCGGACGCACATACTCGCGCCCGCCCCACTTCGTCGGAGTCCCCGTCTCTAGATCCCGCGCCGCTTGTCTGAAAATCTTCCCAACCAGAAACGACCCGAACCAGAACCCAAAGACCTGCCCAAACGGCGCATGGCTCATCCTCAGCATCAATCCCACAGCCACAAACCACGCAAGCAATCCCGCACCTCCCACAACCCCCCCGCCGATCTGCGTCACCGGATTCCCGAGCCAGATCGCGAGCACCATGCACGCAACCGACATATCAGGGAGTAGCGCATTGAGCACAGGCACGCGCACCGAGTACCGCTTGAGCCGACCCGCCTCGCGATTCGCTGATTCCGTATAGATCCGCTTCCACCCACGCACAAACTCTTCCCAGCTCCCATACATCCCGCAGCGCAGGATCCCATCCGCCATCAAGAGTCCCCCACGCTTTCCGCGATACTTGAGCAGCAGCGCAAACGCGATGTCCTCAAGCACCGCGCCCTTGACCGCCTCGTGCCCACCGATGTCCTGATACGCATCCGCTTTAAACAGCATGAACTGCCCGTTCGCAAACGGCCGCTGACGATCCCCATCCATATTCACCCGCAACAACGGATACTGACGCGCCAGCTCAAACGCCGCCGCGGGCTGCACCCACTTCTCAAACCACTGCTCCCCCTCCAGCGTGCTCAGCAGACTCAGCATGTCCAAGCCGCGATCATTCGCCAGCGCCACCGTCGCGCGTACACACGCCGGATCAAACCACGTGTCCGCATCGCTAAACAGCAGCACGTCCGCGTCCTTCGCCCCGTTCGAGCGCGTCACCCCGCTATGCGCCGCGTGCACCTTCCCGGCCCAATCATCCGGACACTCCGTGATCTCCACAATCTCAAACCGATGATCCCCATCAATCGCCTCAAGCGCCACCCCCTTCGTGTCGTCCGTGCACCGATCCAGCGCCAGCACGATGTTCAACCGATCGTAATCCTGCGCCTTGAGCGACCGGATCAGCTTCGCGATGTTCCCCGCCTCGTTATGCGCCGGAACCACGATGCACACCCGCTCCTCCGGAGGCGTCCGATCCGCGATCGCGATCCCGTCCCTCGCTGTAGGCAGCTCACGATTGGTCTTGACAATCGCCGCCGTCACCGCGCCCCAGTACACCAGCGATGCCACCGCCCCCAGCAACAACACAAACATCACAATATCGAGCATCAAGGTAGGCATAGCGTCGTGGAATCCTTCCGACCAATCCTAGGGACGCAAGCCCCTTCCCCCCACCACTATTTCAGTTTCGCCCGTATTGACTCCAAAACCAGCGGCCCTAGCATTCACGCTATGGAATCCGACCAGAAATCACCATCCTCCCAATCGGACGGGCCGATGCGATGCCATTGCCCCTCCTGCTCCAACTCGTCTCCACGAGCGCGATCGTAGCCGGATCGCTCTGCGCCATCCTCGCGTACCTGCGAGGCGCCAAATCCCACAAACAATCACTCAACGCCCAGCTCTTCCTCAACCTGACGGAGCGTCACGCATCGCTGATCGCGTTCCGCAGACTCGACGCCGACCTCCGCCTCAACGACCATTGGCAAGGCGACCTCGAAACCGCCGTCGCAATCCGTGAATACTTCGACCTGCTCGCCCACGAGCACGCGCTTGTGGACCTCGGTATCCTCGACCAGCAAGTCTGGAAGATCTGGCAGCCCGACATCACGCGCATCGTCAACACCCAGCTCGTCTCCGAGGTCTGGAACAAACGCACGCGCCACCTCCACCGCGCCAGCCCGGACTTCGTCCGCTACATCGACACGCTCATGTCCCACCAGCGTGGGGTCTTCTGCGATGGACACACCGGGAGCACCGTCCGCGTTGCCGACAACCGCCATCGCTCGCCGCAATCCACGCAAATCTCCCCCGCCTGACGCACCCCCTGTTTCCCCCTACAATCTCATCAGATCGGAGCAACCACATGCTGGTCCAAATGGAACTCTCCAGAATCCTGATCCACGAGCGCAAAGCCGAGCAGCTCATCGAGCTCCGCGAAGCCGACCCCAACCTCACCCATCCCCGATCCTTCCCCATCGTGATCGGGATCGTCGAAGCCGCCGCGATCGGACGCCGCCTTGAAGGCATGGAACTCCCACGCCCCATGACCCACGACCTGCTCGCATCGACCATCACAGGACTCGGCGCAACCCTCGAAGCGATCACCATCACCGACCTCGTCGACGGCGCCTTCATCGCCCAGCTCTCTATAGCCCGACCCGACGGCCACCTCGTCCACATCGACGCGAGACCCTCCGACGCGATCGCACTCGGAGTCGCGACCAACGTCCCGATCTTCGCGGACGAAGCTGTCATCGAGCAAGCGTGCGTGATGACCCCGCCAAATGACGACACCGACGAAGATTTCAACGAAGCCAGTCGTCATTAACAAACAACCTGAAAGTGACAACGTCGCTAACACAATCTGAATAGTTGAGTGCGTTTTTCGTGTGCACATACACTCAAGGTTGATTCAGAATTAATCCTTGTACCAGATCTCAATTCTTGTACAATCAAATCGACCAACATTCGTTTATTGGTAGTTCATTTGGAGAAGGAGAACATTATGAATCAAACACGATCACACCTCGCAAGAACAAAGACAATCGCGGCCATCGCAACAGCAATGTTGATCGCCACCGTTGCATCCGCAGGGGTCACATTTACCAGCCTTGATCGCACAGCGAGCGCTGGGACCGTAGAGTCGAGCAACGAACTCTTCACCCTGTTCGATGCCGATCTGCACTACACCGAAGACACCGGCGGCATCTTTATCCCAGCTTCATCAAGAGCTTCCCAGACCTCTTTACTTGATAACGCAACCCAAACCCTCACCTTCGATGGATCCGCATCCGCATCCGGCGGTGCTGTAAGCTCAGCGAGCGGATCAACCTCGCTGATCTTGGGATTCACCGTTTCAGCAGGCATGCCCGCTGAACTGATGATCAACGGCACCCTCACCGAGTTCGACGGCAGCGGGATCGATCCAGGATCTGAGGGTGGAAACGGAACATCCCTCCTGAGAATCTTTCACAACGGATCCATGATCTACTCCAATGCCCCAACTTCCAACGGCACAATCTCAGTGAACGATCAACTCGTGCTCGCTACAGGAACCTACGAACTCAGCATCACACTCAGCGGCAGCGGTCCACCACAAGTAGGTGGCGGGAGCGGCCGAGCAGACCTCACCGTCGAGTTCATTCCAACCCCAGGCACCGCAACCATCGCACTCGCCTTCGGCTTCCTATCAACTCGCCGCAGACGATAAAGCTTCTACCTAGTTCCAAATACCCAATGCACCTCTCAATCGAGAGGTGCCATTCTTTTGTATCAATGCTCCGCCCCAACAATGTCATTAGTTGCCGCACAAGTGCTACCACCGCATTCAGGACAGGCCGTCACATCTTCTAGACCAGCGAGGTTATACCCACAGGATTCACACACCTGTTCTGGAAGCACCTTTCGGCGCTCAAGTACTGCCCAAACAAGCAGTGACCCCATCGTGAAGAGATCGAACAGCAATGATACCGATGTGTACTCACAATACTCGAAACCGTAGAACAGCAAAAGCGTTCCTGGCGGATACTTTCCTGTATTCACAATCCATAATGCGTTGACCAAAGCGAGTACAACAGCTGTGCCCCACATAACAGCAACAAGTTTTGACCGAGAAAGACAAAACAGCACGGCCCCAACCACAGCTACTCCGATGACATCCATAGTTTGAACATTGAACAACATCCAACTGCTAAACGACTGAACTAGAGCTATGTAAATTTCTAATGGAATTAGAAACCAAACTGCACAAAATGAGAAAACCACCAACTGAATGATCGGACGAACTCTGTATGGAGAAACTTGGAAGACAACAAGAATTACAGCACCGGTGACAACGCTCACTGACGGATCAAAAATGCTCAGACCCAGAAATCCAATACGAGTCACAAAGTACATCATCGGGTCAACACCAAGTGTCGAAAGAATGAGTTTCAGCAGTTCATAACGAAGCTCGACCCCAGCAATCACCGCCGCGACAAGAGCAATCAGTATCACTGCTGACACACACCCCACCCAACCAAAGCCGAGAAGAGGGTCCTTGATGTGCTTCCTCTTGAGCATTACTGAACCATCCTATACGCGACTTCCTTCATACCTACAATCCCCTCCAATGCCCGCCCCCACTTCATCCAGCCTCCCCCCCTTCGACGCCGCCGTCGCGGCTCCTGTGTATCTCACGCGTGACATCCCAGGAATCGGAGGCACGATCAAAATCCGTCCCGACGACTTCCTCGTCACCGAGCTCCCGCTCTACCAACCCGCAGGACACGGCGAGCACATCTACATGCTCATCGAAAAACGAGGACTCTCCACACTCCAGCTCCGCGACATTGTCGCGCGTCACTTCAAAGTCGGGAAGCGATCCATCGGACACGCCGGACTCAAGGACAAGCACGCAATCACGCAGCAAGTCATCTCCGTCCACACGCCTGGGAAAACCCCAGAAGATTTCCCATCGCTGCGCCACGACAAGCTAACCGTCCAGTGGGTCGATCTGCACACCAACAAACTCAAACGCGGACACCTCGCCGGGAACCGCTTCTCGATCCGCGTGCGTGATGTCGATCCAACCGCCGTGCTCCACGCGAACCGCGCCCTCCAACAACTCGCTCAGCATGGCGTCCCCAACCGATTCGGACCCCAGCGCTTCGGACTCATCCAGAACAACCACGAGATCGGACGCGCCCTGATCCTCGGCGACCACCAACACGCGATCGACCTCCTCCTCTCCCCACACCCCCTCGCGCCCAAATCACAACACGACGCGCGCGAGTTGTACGCGGCAGGAAACTTTACCGCCGCCCGAGAAGCGCTCCCCAAAGTCTTCAACATCGAGCGCCGAGTCCTCTCCCGCCTCGCCCAAGACGCCGACCCCCAAACCGCGATCACGGCGATCGACCAGACCGCGTTCGGCTTCTACATCTCCGCATTCCAATCCGCGATTTTCAATCAGGTCCTCAACAACCGAGTCGCCGATGGTACCCATCACAAGCTGCTCCCCGGCGATCAGGGATTCCTGCTCAACTCCCGCCGAATGTTCCACGTGGAACAATCGGATCTGGAAAATTCGGAGACCGCCGCTCGCCTCGAATCAGGCGAAATCAGTCCCTCAGGCCCGATGTGGGGCACCACGATGCCGAGGGCAACTGGGGAAATTGACGCGATTGAACTCCAAGCCCTTGCAAACACGGGAGTATCGACGAAAGATTTGGAATCGTGTGAGTCACGCGATCACCCCCAGATGATCGGGGGGGATCGCAGGCCGCTGAGGATTCCGGTGATCGATCCGGAAGTCGAAGGCGGCGTCGACGAGCACGGCGCATACATCCGATGCGCGTTCGAGCTCCCACGAGGATCGTTCGCGACGACGGTGATGGACGAAATCATGAAAGTCACTCCCGGCTCTACGAGTACTGACGACCACGCAGGAGAATGAAATGAGCGATGACATCCGGCATATCTGTTTCGACTGGGGCGGGGTCATACTCAAAATTTGTCGTACTTGGGAAGAAGGCTGCGCGAATGCGGGCATCGAGAAGAAGACCAAGAAAGCCGGGACGGCGTGCTACAAGAAGATGCGCGCGATCGAGCCGCGTTACCAGACAGGACAGATGAGCGACAAGGCGTTCTTCCGCTCGATCTCCAAAGCGTGCGATGAGGCGTACTCGATCGACGATGTTGCCGCGGTCCATCATGCGTGGTTGCTCGACGAGTACGAGGGCGTGGGTGAGCTGATCGACGAGCTCAACGAGTACGCGGATCTGACGACTGGATTGTTCTCCAACACGAACTCGCTCCACTGGGATCGGATGGAAGAGGAATCTCCCAGCGCATTCATCATCGAGCACAAGCACGGCAGTCACTTGTTCGGACTCGCGAAGCCGGATGAAAAAGCGTTCGCGGCCTACGAGCGCCGCGTCAATGCAGCGGGATCGCAGATCCTGTTCTTCGACGATTCTCCTGAGAATGTCGCGGGTGCTCGCGCCTTCGGATGGAACGCGGAGCAGGTCGATTTCAAGAAGTGCACAGCGACCCAGGTTCGCGCGCATCTTGAACGACTGATGATCCTCGAGCCGGCGTGAGACCTGAGTCGTTTCACACAGGTTTGAAACCAAACTCCATCTGGTATACTCCGGCAATGTCAAACTCCCGACTCTTGCTGTGTTCTTGTGTATTGATCTTTGTGTTTGCTGCTTCGGCCCTGGTTGGCTGCGGCGGTGAGTCGGCGATGATGGCCGCGAGTCGTGGCAGTGCGTCGTCTGAGTCTGCTGATGCAACTCAAGAGTCAAAGCTTGTCGGACAACTGCAACTCCCCGGCGAGGGTGGTCGGCGGGGGGTTGAGGTCCATGCGTGGGTGCGTGACTCAAAAGGCGGAGAGAATCAGCTGTGGATCCTGCCGGGTGGTGATGGGCGGTTTGCGCGGGAGTTTGAGGGGGAGGTTACGCGGGTTCGTGTGTTTGCGGGGCGGGAGGTGCATCGGATTGATGGGGATGATCTGCCGAAGGTTGATGGGGACGGGCGGGTTGATCTCGGGGTGATTGATCTGCGTGAGTTGCTCGTTGGGTACCAGATGCGCACGCGGTTGGCTGGGGGAAAATCAGATGGGGAGTATCGGGCGGCGTTGTGGATTGGACCGCCTCCGACTGGGCCTCGTGGGTCGCTGCCTTCGCTTGGGTCGGCGCAGTTCCCGACATTGGAGCTTGGTGAACAGGTGGAGTGGTTGCTGCCGGCGGATATCAGGGATGTGTACTTTCTTGTGGAGCTTCCCGATGGTGACGGGCGCGGGAGGGACTGGCGGAGCGGGGAGCAGCGGGTGTTTGGGGCTTTTGAGGCTTCGGACTTCCCGGTAGAGCTTGTGGTTGATTGAGCTTGGGTGGTTTCTGCTTCAGGGACGGGGTTTTTGAGATTCTTGCCAGCTTCGCTTGACTTTTACTTGTTGCAACACATAATTGAGCATGGCTCCGCGGAATGCACAGTCTGAAACACGCTCTCGGCTCGCGGTTGAGCTTGGGAAGAAGAACGCGTTCACGATGCGTGAGCAGGAGGCGTATCTGAATCTGGTGCGGACGATGAGCGTGCTTGGGCGCGACTTTGCGCAGCTATTTAAGAGCTACGGCGTATCGGAGACGCAGTACAACGCGCTGCGGATTATCGCGGGAGCAGGGAAGCAGGGCATACGGATGGAATCGATCGGTGAGCGAATGGTGGCGCATGATCCGGACACCACTCGGCTCGTGAATCGACTGCTCGATGCGGGGTATGTCGTCAAGGAGAAGCTCGAGGACGATCGGAGATGTTCGGTCGTGCGGATCACTGGAGAAGGAAGGTCGCTGCTTAAACGGATGCGGGGCAAGGTGGATCAGCTGCACAAGCAGCAACTGGGACATATGAAGGCGGGTGAGTTGGATGAACTGAACAGGCTGCTGGTGATCGCGAGGGACGGGGCGGGGGCTGAATGAGCTTGTTTTTATTTGGAATAATATGTGTTGCAACACACTTTATATCAGCGAGACTCCACGGCACACGGTGGAGCACAGGAAAGGAGCGGCATCATGACCAAGACACACGCACAACTCAGGTTTTGGGACGGCGCGACGCGCGGGCGGACGCAGATCGGCTGGCTCGACGGGTACCACTCGTTTTCGTTTGGTCGGTACATGGATCCGGATCGGATGGGGTTCCGTTCGCTCCGGGTGATTAACGATGACAAGATCAAGGCGAGCCGAGGGTTTGGGATGCATCCGCATCATGAGATGGAGATCCTGACCTGGGTGCTCGATGGGAAGATCAAGCACGAGGACAGCACTGGACAGCATGGCGAGATTGTTCCCGGCGATCTGCAGCTGATGTCTGCGGGCAGGGGGATCCGTCATAGCGAGTTCAATGGTCTGGATGATGCGACGACGCATCTGCTGCAGATCTGGATTGAGCCGAGTGTTGCGGGGGTTGAGCCGGGGTATCAGCAGACCTCGTTTGATGCCTCGGGCAGAGCGGATCAATGGCAGCTGCTCGCGTCCCCTGCTGCTCGCGATGGATCACTGAAGATTCACGCGGATGCGGAGGTCTCGGTTGCGGACCTGAGCGCTGGGAGCGCGATCGGAGCCGTTGTCCCTGACGGACGGCATGGGTATGTCCATATCGCACACGGGAAAGTCAGGGTCGATGGCAAAGAACTCACAGGTGGTGATGCGTTCTCGTTTGAAGAGGGGCGCGTTGACATTCAAGGAATCGAGGACAGCGAGTTGCTGTTCTTTGAACTGGCATAAACACACACGAACCACACAAGGAGAAGGCACTATGAGCACTGGTACAGAAACACAGGTCCGGATCGAATCGCTTCTGGGATACATCCGCGAGGGGCGGATCATGGACGCGATGAGGGAGTTTTATGCGGATGATGTGGTGATGGAGGAGCCGGCGTATGGGAAGACTGTTGGGCTCGCGGCGAATCTGGAGCGCGAGCAGCAGTTTGTGGACTCGGTCGCGGAGTTCACGAGCTTCGAGACTCCCAAGGTGATGGTCGGCGAGAACAGCTCGGCGTACGAGAACTCGATGAGCTGGAAGAGCACTGATGGCCAGGACATCCAGATCGAGCAGGTCGCGGTTCAGGAATGGCGCGATGGGAAGATTGTGAGCGAGCGTTTCTACTACGCGACGAGTTGAAGATGATTACTTGGACAGCTCGTCGTAGACGGCGCTGATTGCGCGAGATTTGATCCGTTCGAATCCCAGACCATCCATGAAGTCCCAATGCATTTCGGCAACGGCTTCCTTAGGGGTGCCGGCGTCGATTTGTTTTTGGACTTGTTCAACAAGCTGTTCGAGATAGTTGATCTGGTTGGTGATGAGGGAGCGGTCGCCGGGTTGGCCGTGTCCTGGGATGATCTGGGTGTCCTTGTCGGTGCGTTTGTAGATGGATTGGAGTGAGTTGATCCATCCCAGTGCGGTCGCGCCGTGGGCGGGGAAGAAGAAGGGGTGGAGTCCGGCGAAGATGAGGTCGCCGGTATGGATGATGTTGTGGTTCTCGAAGTGGACGATGAGGTCGTTGTCGGTGTGTCCGGCGCCGAAGTGATGGAGGGAAACGGGAGTCGTTGGGTGCTCGACTTCTGTTGAGTCATCGAAGGTGTGCTTCGGTGTCACGGCTTGCTTGGTGATCAGGTCGAGCGAGTGTGCGGCTTGGAGTGCGAAGGCGATGAGTTCTGCGGAGGCGCCGGCTTCGGCGAATTTTTCTGGTCCTGATTCTGCTTCGGACTTTGCTTGGTCGAGCTGGGATTGGATTCGTGGGACGGCGTTTTGTTGTGCGAATGAGTGCTTTGAGTTCGGGAGGAGGAAGGCGTTGCCTCCGGTGTGGTCGCCGTGGTGGTGGGTGTTGATGGTGGTGAGGTGTGTGGAGTCGTTGTTGAGGGTACGTGCGTCTTGGAGGAGTGCGGGGCCGTAGGACGCGAACTTGGTGTCGATGAGGATCGCGTGGTCTTTGTGGGAGGCGAGGAGAGTGTTGCCTCCGGTGGAGAGGTCGGCGATGAGATGGAATCCCTTGATCGGGGTCGGGAGGTCTTTCCAGGAGAGTAGCGGCGAAGCGGATCTTGAACGCGTCGCGGCGAGGAGGGTGGACGGGGAGGCGGCAGAGGCGGTGAGCACGGCGAGGAGTTTGAGTGATTCTCGGCGTGTGAGGGTCGATTGAATGGTCATCGCGTGCTCCTTTGTGCGTGGTCTTGCTGTGCTAGGATAGGGGCGCTATGGGAATGGTCCCTTGGCGTGTGTGTAACTCCGATCGCTCGGCGATCATTCCCAGGAAACTGATATCTATGAAAGCAAACGAACTGCGTCCGGGCATGGCGGTGAACTACAGCGGGAAGTTGTATGTTGTTGCGAAGCTTGCACATACGAAACCTGGCAAGGGTCCGGCGTACATTCAAATCAAGATGCGTGCTGTAGATGGATCTGGGATGACAGAGAAGCGATTCCAAGGCTCGGATGTGGTTGATGGTGCGACACTGGATCGGCGTGAGATGGAGTTTCTCTACGGCGACGGTGAGGGCGGCGGGACCTTCATGGATATGGAAGACTACGACCAGGTTGAGTTGAGTCAGGATCTGCTCGATGATGCATTGCTGTACATGTCTCCGAACTCGAGCTGTAACGTCTTATTCCACGAAGGAAATCCTGTTGCGATCGAGCTCCCTTCAGCAGTCGTGGTCACGGTAACTGAGACTCCTCCTGGTATCAAGGGCGCGACAGCGACGAATCAGCTCAAGGAAGCTGAGTGTGATACTGGATTGAAGACGCGTGTGCCGCCGTTTATCTCCAATGGCGAGAAGATCCGTGTATCGACTGAAGACGGGTCGTACATGGCGCGTGTGAAGGACGAGTAAAGATGAGCACGCTCGAACCCAATCTCGTGTTGATTGGGTTGCGCGGTTCTGGCAAGTCCACCATTGGTGCTCGGCTTGCAGATTCACTCGGACGCGACTTTGTCGATCTCGATGACTCGACGGCTCGCGTTTTGGACTGCGCTGGCGCGGGAGAAGCGATCGCGAATCATGGGATGGACGCGTTCCGCGCTGCGGAGCGAACGGCTTTGGAGCAGGAGTTACAGACCGATGGACGCGTGATCGCGCTTGGGGGTGGTACCCCCACTGCTGAGGGGTGTGTGGGACTGCTCAAGTCGTGTGATTGTCGAGTGATCTATCTCAAAGCGCAACCAAGCACGCTGCGGACACGCTTGAGCAGCACGGACAACACGGATCGTCCCTCGCTCACGGGCGGCGATGTGCTTGATGAGATCGGGACGGTGTATGAACAGCGTGATCCGTTGTATATGGAGATCGCGGAATCAGTCGTGCACACCGATGGGGTGAGCGAGGACTCGACGGTTGTGGCACTGATCGCGCTGGCGAGAGCGGGGTCCTAACTATTTTGCGGCGTGGACCGCAGCGCAGAGTTTGGCGATTTTGGTGTGGTCTTTGATTCCCGGCTCTGTTTCGACGCCGGATGAGATGTCCACGGCGTAGGGCTTGAGGGTCTTGATGACCTCGGTCACATTGGACTCATCCAGACCTCCGGCGATGATGATCCGCTTTGTATAGTTCTCGATGAGTGGCGAGAGCTCGGACCAATCGAACGCTTTGCCTTCACCTCCATCAGATCCGTCGATGAGGAGGGCGTCGACCTCGGCGACCTTTGACCAACGATCGAGCTGGGATTGGATGGTGACTTGCTCGTATTTGAATGCTTTGATGACTCCTGGTCCGCATTGCTGGACGAGTGAGACGGGTTCTTTGCCGTGGAGTTGGAAAGAGTGCGCGGGACAGGTTTGTTCGAGGTCGCAGAACTCGTCAAGGGTGAGGTCGCGGGTGACTCCGATCGCGGAGACCATCGGGGGGAGGTTGAACATGATCGCGGCGGCGTCATCCGGATCGATGAAGCGCGGGGTATCTTTGACGAAGATGAATCCGAGCGCGTCGGCGCCGTTGTCCACGGCGGCTTGCGCATCGTCGATGTTGGTGATGCCGCAGATTTTGATGCGGGTCCTGTGATGGGTCATGACTGGTTGCTCCGGATGGCATCGAGTTCAGATTGGGCGAGTGCTTTGATGTCTTCGTCTGAGGTGTTGGCGATGAGGTTCTTGAGGATGTCGAGGGCCGCGTCAGGGCTGTTGAGATCGTTGGCGTTGATGCGGGCGCGGAGGATGCAGATGACGCCGCGCTCTGGGTCTGCTGGGTAGTCCTTGAGGAGTGCTTGGTACGCGTCGAGCGCTTCCTGACGCTGATTGGTTTGATAAAGATGATTGGCGATCTGGTACTGCGCGTCGCGGTGCATGGTTGTTGGGTACTTGGGGTCGTCGTTGAAGTACTGGACCATCGCGAG